ACAAAGCTGGCCTAAGTGGCTCTGTCCTCCAGAACATGCATCACTGTAGTAACAGTACAGACAGACCCTTTGGTTTCTGTGCATTACACCAAATTAGGAAGATTAACGCATTAACAGTTCGTAACTGCAACAGATTCTTACAAATATTTTTCCTACGTATTTGTCCCATTTTACTTAAAATAACTGCAGGATAACTGCATTTCTCATTTGTCTCAGCTCTTTCAAACTTGCATGCCTCATTCCAAGGAAGGAGTGGATTTTTATAGCTGTAACCCAACAGTAATTTTATTCGTTAAGACTTTGCCAGCCAAGGCACTTGGGAAGCCGTAGAACAGTAATAAACACATATTTTAAAAGACACGATAGAAATATCATTTTAAAAATAGACTTAAAGTACAAATTAAGAAAGCAGAAAACTACAGGACAGCACTAGTCAGGAAAGAAAATAATTTTTAAAAAGGGTTAAGCTCTTTGAAATGGATGAGGCTGCTTTGTTCAGTACTAAAGATGAAATAGTGGTTCTCCACCTTAATGCTTCAGAAATGAACATGGTGCAGTTGAAGCAAGATGTTAAATCACAAAGGTGGTGTTCTTGACCACAGATAACAATAAGATCTTCAGTAAGGACAGCCTGAGCACAACCCAAGAATGAGTAAGTGAGCAGAGAGGGAAGCCGTGTGGTAAAGAGGTTTTTCCACTCCAAAGAAAGCAGACATGGCAATAGGAAGTGCGGAGCAGGAGGTAAGAGAGGAAGAAGGAGAAAGAACAGAAAAGCCAAAATCAAAGGACCGGCGATGGGTTTTATAGGGAACGAGAAGCAGCTTCTCCAGCCAGGTCAGTGCAGAGACAGGCAGTGGGAGCTGGTCGTGGGTGCCGAGGGAAAGACAACGTGCTTGAAGCTGCAGCAGCAGAATTCCACTTAACACACAGACATACAGATTCCCTTCCTGGTATTTTATTTTATAAACATCTATCACAACAGCATTCGTGGTGCTGAACCATTAATTTTCTGGTTTCTGATTGATTAATAACACATTAACCTGAGGTGATTCATAAATCTGAGGTGACCTTTAGAGCAGCAGTGGAAGTACTTTGGGGGACAACTCTTGCAAAGCTTAAAGCAGCCACACGGCTGCTTTCTGAACAAGCTGCAAGTCCTGGGGGTGTCAAACAAGGGCTTTCACTCACTCCTGTCTGTACCTGCCTGGCACAGGTTTTACATTCAAGTAAATTCCAATATACCACAGATAACAAATACAGAGGGTTATATCACAAATACACGTGACAGAACTCAAGAGATGTCAAGGAAAATCTACCACCACCGCGCCTTAAATTTCACCAGTCTAATGTTGATATGAGCTCTTACAACAGGTTTGAAGTTGTGTGTTCACCGATGCTAGTGGAAAGGAAACAACGTGTGAGCCCTCATTTGGAGACAGGTTTAAATGCAGCTTTGGAAATTGTGGCCTCTGCAAAAAGCACCAAAAGGGCATCTGGTAGATTTCTGTGGAAATCAGGTATTTGGAAGCTTTTTATTCCCTCCCAACTCCAGCTATTTTTAGCTGAACTTTTTGTCCCTTTTCTGGCAAGACCCATCTCGCTAGACTAGGGCTGAAGGCAGAATACCCATGGTCTCCCCAGAGCGTTCACCCCCTCATTAACCATGCACAGAAACACAATTAAAAGCTTCCTAGAGGAGCTGGATAAAAGCAGATGATAACATTTTTTAATTTTTGCTTTATGCTTCATGTCTTCATAGCTCCTGAATAGGCTTGCAGAGCAGCAGCAGCAGCATTCCCCCTTTGTTAGGCGGCCCGATGCAGGAGGAGCAGCCTGCCTGTGGCATGAGCTGTGAATTAGAGCGCTGAAACACTGTGCCCAAACAGAGCTCCGTGCACTGGCCCAACCAAGTATGCAGTTCAACCTCTTGTCAGTCACCAGAAAAAAATAAATAAATGTAAAAAGCAAGAGAGAAACATTTGCACAAGTCACACTTGAGCAATAAATAGCCAGGCCTCGGGCTCTTACAGTACTACTGGCAGCCTACTTGCCTAGCACCTGGCTTGGCAGTCCTTCACCATGCAGCGTTCCCTTTGACTAATACAAATCACTTGCACACAAGGGCAGCAGGAATGAGCCCACAGCAGCTAATTCATCAAATCTTAAAGAAAAATTGAAAAAGAAAAATGTAGATCTGCATGTCCAAATACCATTCCAATAAGAGCATTTCTGCCTCCGTGCAGACACAGACACCGACTTCTGCCTTCCTGGCAAAACCTGAACGTAACAGGAGAGGGGAGAGCACAGGCTAACACAGCTGACCTCTTTTTCTGTCAACGTGTTCTGAGAAGCTAAAAGAGAACAATTTATTTTGAAGAAAAATATTAAGAAAATCAATGGCACCACACGAAGAGTCTATGAGAATCACGATTGATTTGAAAGCCCTCTTCCCAAAGCTCAGTAATTTTGTCTCAAGGCATAAAGTCACATCAGGATGATAAAAGATTGTTTCAGTACACGTGAACAGCTTGCTTCTGGCTGGTAACTAGTTGCTTACTGAAGAAGACAGACAGACAAAGCTTGATTGACAGAGCTTTTCCATTCCTATATTGCAAGAAATGTTACAAGACGTATACGAGTGTCCCTGATAACGAGGGCTAAAATAACAACCCATAATAGATGGCCATTTGCAAATCCTTGGGATACCAGATGACTTACGCTCGAATATTACAATAAATTTCCTGTGAAATTGTTGCACGCTGCTTTGGGGTAGGATCTCTTCTGCGTCCTCCTAGGAACAGAATTTTTGTTATTCTAAATTGCTCTAATTAGCTCTCCTCAGAGCCCCGTGGCTATAGCTATTAGATTTCCAACACAGCGACAACCTTCTCCAGGCAACAAGATAGTTACAAAATGTACCTTTCAAATTAGTTAGCAAAAAGCTCTGTGAACTCGGAGGGTACTCTGTAACCAGAATGAGATGGATGATTCTGTATTTTCAGCCTACGGAGAAACTCGGCAGAAAGTAGGTAATACACATGCTCTCTTGGGAGAGATTTCTTTAAATGTCTGCACTAAAACTTACGAATTTTGAACATACAGATTAATTATTTTCGTAGTGCTCTCATTAAAAGGAAGGACAGCTACACCCTCCCCACCCCACCCGTGTCTACATGGGACTTAGAGTTTCTGGATTCGAGTCATGATTTAATCTTCATTGTCCTGTCTGAAATGTTTCCAGGGTATAGCTGATCTTCACGGAGATTATTTATTTTTTATTACTATTCTGCACACAAGAATCTGTCCTTAACTTTACACTAGAGATCTTCCTGGGGCAGCCTATAGGATACTACAGGTAAGTGTTCTTTTCTGAGATCTTTTCTAAAGGGCACAGGTATGAATAACAAGTTTGTTTTCGCCACTGAATAGTTCAGTAACCGTCTAACAGCTAAATTAACATTTTTAAATTTGATTTCGCTATTTCCTGATAACCGGCTTGAAAGGTCACTGCTAGAATATTTACAAAGAGATTTTTTTCGTTCCACTTGCTCCCACCGTTGTTCAATATTTGGCTCTGATTAGGCTGACATATAACCTATCTGATCGGGGAGGATATGATACCCTTTTGCGTTAGCCTCAAAACATTAATAATGCAATTCATATTTGCAATACAAGGGTAATGACATTCTGTTTACGGGTTGCATATCAGTAGATAATGCCTTAGCATTAGGAGACAGGACTGGTACTTGTTTTCATAGAAATAGAAATGCCTTAGTTTTTCATTTAATTTTTTGAGCACAAATCTCGCATTGATGGCATTTTTCATCTCAAAAGACTACAAGTCTCTTTCCTACGCGGGTAAAGTTGATTACAGAAAAAGAGCCTTAGCATTCCTTTGACATTTTGCATTTCCAAAATATCACAGAAATTCCCTTGTGCTGTCTGACCAACTTTCTTGCAAGGTATTGAAAGTTTACTGCCCTTGATTTGTAGTCGTGTGGAAATTAGGTTAAGTAACTGCACAAGGCTACAAAGTGAATCGCTAGAAGAACCAGGAATTACCTCCAGACTACCTGGTTCACACAAATCAGAGGCAGGAGTCACTTCTAACCCCACCAAGCTGAAAAGCAACAACTGCTAATCTTAATGTTTTGGAATTCAGGATAAGCATTACTTATCATCAGATAATATTCAAACCCAGCATTTATGGAAAGAGTAAAGGACCGTGTGACATAGAGATGACTACTCTGGAACAAAACGATGCTTGTTATCCAACATCTGGGACTGCAAACCACATCAAGCAACAGATGCTGAATACTAATTAGTAGAGTATTAAAAAAAAATAATAAAAAAAATAAAAAACAAGACAACCCACTAGGTGGCACTACAATTAAAACAAAACAGACTACAACGGTGTAAATCAGAACAAAGCAGGGGAAAGTCTTTTTTTTCTTTTTTTTCTTTCTTTTTTTTTTTTGGTCAAAGAGTCTTCCAAAGTGGGACGGTACTTACAGCCACCATCAGTCATGATGCAAACAAGCTCTGGGTGAGCATGCATGCTCTTATTTTGTGCTGCTCATGCTCCTCAGTCTTGACCCAAAATTCACTTTCACTGTAGATTATCTTGAAAATTTGCTTACAAAAGGCCTATGAACTATCATTTTGGGTAAATGGCTCCTAATACAGGAATTAACTCATTTCAGAAGTCTTGAACCCAATATATTTTACTCAACTATTAATACAGACAATGGGCTCTTTCCACCCTTCTTTTATCAATTCTGCCATTTACTGATCAATCATTGATCAAGCACAACTCCTAGAGATGGTAGGCAGCTGAGAACAAAGAAAGGCTGGCACAGGAAGCTACATGCTAATGGTTTCAGGAAAATCCAACAGAAAATGAAGATAAGACAGGCAGACTAGTTCTCTAGGCATTGTAAGGAACCAGTAATCTTTCCAGGAAACAGTTTTAGAAACTTCAGACCTAAAGGCCCACTTACCTTTTCTGTCTCATTTCTTCACAGCTTTCTGTGGGTAACCTCCTTTATGGTTATTCCCGTTTTTCAGCTTGTTCTCTCAAATCTACTGCACAGCATTACCGGCATCTTCAACAGATTTCCTCAACTGCATCTTTATTATGAGGATGAAGCTTGGGATCTGTTACTTATCTGCTTGCCAGACAGCAGGAGGCAGACACCAACAGCACTTAAGATTGGTCCAGCGCTAATGGTTGGACCAGGTGATCGTGGAGGTCTTTTCCAACCATAATGATTCTATGATGATTCTAAAGCCACACCAGCCCATGGCATACATGCTCTTCCTCTGCTTTGTCCTGTATAGGCAAGCTGTTGGGCTGCATCAGTGTCACATCTCAAAACAATGACCACCAGACTGCAAAACTATTTGCTTAATTCTGCTCTTGGAGATGCTGCCTGTTGACACCCAGGAGTGTTAATGGCGTGCTTCTGGCTCTTCCAAACTGTCCCCCAGGAGCAGAAATGCACCACAAGGTAACTGTAAGTGACAACAAGTCTCTGGAATATAACAATTGCAGTGATAAAAGGCCACTAGCCCTGTTACATCATTATCCTCCTTTCTGCAGAGGCCATGACGTGGCACATCACAGATGAGCAAACTGTCCCAAATAAAGGCTGTGCTGAAAACTTAGTGCAGTCTGCCACATTTTAACTTAGCAAGGTGCTAGATTTTGCAGGATTCTCATGTGGCAAGCTAGAATTTCTTCTGCAGCTTCTTTTTAATAATACTTTAATCATACTCTTGAATGTATCATTTACGAACTTGCATTATGGTATCTGCATCTTCGTTATCCTTCAGACTGATTTTGGAAAGTGCAGCAATGCCTGCAGAAATCAGGTGAACAGCTGGTGTACAGGCGCCTGTGAGTAATCTAGCTCTCACTTTGGGACCATGCAATGCTTGTGTGTGGCTTTTTTCCTCTTCAAAATGATGATCACAAAACAACTGACAGGACTGATGAGGTTAAGAAGCTTGGGGTATCACCAAGGTGGATTTATGTGGCATCCAGTTACACAGGGCACTGGTAGAAATGAGCAGCACAAGCAGGCAGCCGTGTTTCACGGTGTTAACAGCATTACCCTTTTTGATCAAAAAAAAATCAAATTTTAGGTGGTGTTTGTTGTCCAAACAGCGCGTTACAAGCCATTTACAGTGGACGTGTATACATGTATATGATGACAAGCTCCAAGTGGAAGTTTGAAAACCAACCACAATGAGCTGCAACAAGGAAAAAGGGCCTCTCCCACAGCCTAGCGCCCCAAGCAGGCATTTATTACTCGTAACGAGGGCAGTTCCAGAAGCTGAGCCTCAGCCCCCTGTCAGTCCCAGCTCCCACAGGTACACAGAGCGCACCACCTGCGGCTACCCAATCTCCTCGTTCTCAGCCTAACCAGCTCTGACAGGAGACCCCTTCCTGACCTCGGCCAGCGCCAGCCCAGCTGTCTCTCCTGTCACTTACAGCCCCGAAGCGGGGTGAGGAGAGCCCTGCCTGCCTGCCTGCCCGCCCGCCCGCCCGCCCGCCGCAGAGCCGCCCCCTCCTGTCCGCCCCCGCCTCCCTCCCCACACAAAATGGCCTGCGCCCGCCTCCCACCACAGGCTGCCCGGAAGAGCTGTAAGTCCCGCCCCCTGCCCTCCCTCCCCCTCCCTCCCTATGGCCTGACGCCCTCATCCCCCTCGCGGATTGGCTGTCGGCCGCGTCCCTCACGGCCCCTCAGCTCGCTGATTGGCGGTGGCCAGGCAAGGCAGGAGCCATGGCGGCGGTGGCGGCCCGGGGCGCGCTGCGCTCGCGCTCCCCGCTGCTGGGCTGGGCGCTGAGGTGAGGGAGCGGGGCCGGGGCCGCGATCGGGGCCGGGCCGGGCTCCCCCAGTCCCGGGCCGGGTTAAACGAGGCTGGGAAGCGACAGCGAGCCCTGAGCCAGCGCCCCGGGGCCGGCCTGGCGTGTGAGGGCCGTGGGGGGATCGGTTTGTGAGGCGAAATGCCCCGCTGGGGAGGTGAAATGTCCAAAAAGCGCTGATCCCTTACAAAAAAAGGCACCCCATTAACGTTATTCTCCTCTTTTTTCGCCCCAGGACGTCTCCGCGACTGCTCTGTGTGGCGACGCAGCAGAAAAACCCCGGGCAGAATGTGGAGGAGGAGCAGAGCCAGAGCCCCGGCGAGCAGAAGGCCGAAGCCAGCCCCGCCGAGAAGGTGCTGGGCGAGGAGAAGGCCAGGCTGGAGGAGCAGCTGAAGGAAGTCACCGTGAGTGCCCTGTGGCGATTGCTCTGCCTCCCTCCCAAACTGCATGCCTCACATCTCGGTGACAGGTTCTCAGTGCTCAGTCTGCTCGCGGTAACGTGACTGCGGTGCAGCTGATGTAATGAAGCTGTAATTCAGTGAGTTCCCTAAACGTAAGCTTAGATACGCTGAGAGACTGTACATGCAGCCCTTCCTGGTCCAAGATGACTGTGGGCAGTTTCATTCTGATTTCTGGATATAACTGGACCTCTGCTAGGCTGGAAATTTGTTACTGGGTTTCACTGATTTCATTACACTGAGATTTTTGCTCAGTGGAGAAATAATCTTTGAAAGTTCATTTAAGGGCTAGAATGCTTTTGAGGTGTGTATTCTGCTAGACTTCCTGAAAGCAGCTGCTGATTTTTCCAAAGGTTAAAGTTAATGATTTTTAGCTTTTGTATAATACTGTACTTATTACAGGGTTTTGAAGTGAGAGTTTCAACCCATCTCTTCTAGAGATATCTTTAAACACAAGACTGGCATGTCATGTTCCTTCTCTCTGGCCTAAAGCTTCTTGCATTCCATCTCGTGCATGACTTAGCAGAGAGTGAAGAATGCCCTGAGAGGTGGCAGATGTGGGTTAAATAAAGGCATTGCTTTTCTGGATGAGTGCTTTAAGTAAAACATCTTTCTAGAACATGTGGCACCTGAAGAGGTAGCCCAGAACCTTCTGTTAAAGCAGTGCCTGTACATCATGTGGACTGAGATTCCTTTCTGCTGCCCTTACTAAAGCACTGAAAGACAAAACAGAGACATCTTTTAATGCTTCTGTTGACAGTATTTGCTATTGGCTACCTAAGGTGTTTTTTCATTCAACTTGTTGACTGTTTTTAATCAGTTCTGTAATTCTTCACATGCATGTGAAAGTCAAGCTTCCTGAGTGTGAAAGCCCAGTGTGGAGTTCTGGTTTAGATCATGGAGCACCCAACCTCAAATGTCAAAGCTTATAAAATTTAGTTATAAATGCATTTACTGCATGGACATTTTGCTAGGAACACACCTAAGCTTAACCTGATAAACAGAGTTAGGGTTTGTAGTTTGTAAGGTTTGAAAAACTTGGAGGACACCCTGTGGTACGTATGTAGAGGGAAGAGATAGTTTGAAAGTAATGCTTGGGTTGAATTTTGTTTGTTACAGTGTCAGAATACCTTATGGCTTATGAAGGCTTTCTGTGAACACTTACCAAAAAAAACAGAAGTCTTCAATTCAGAAAATTTCATGCCTTAACACTTCATAGCGTTTTTTTTTTGTTTGTTTGTTTTTCCAGCTAAGCAGTTAACAAACGCTGAGTCTGGAAGTCTTACTTTCTCTCCCTCACTTCTGTCTGCACTGACACGAAGCAAACATTTGCCTTTGTAAGAGGGATACTGTGATAATTGCCATATTGTCTTCAGATTACTCTTTAGACAGAGGATTCGGGCAATGTAACTGTTGTTTTTTTTTTAAAAAAAAGAGTTGTTTTATACTGACTTTGCAGTTTTGAATCATTGTCAACTACTCGACCGCTTGGAATGAAACCTCTTCTCTAACTTGTTTTTCTTCTTCAGGACAAGTACAAGCGCGCCTTGGCAGATGCAGAAAACGTGAGGCAAAGAAGCCAGAAACTAGTAGAAGAGGCAAAGTTATACGGTCAGTGAAGGCTCTTTTTGTGTATAAGACACAGGAATAACAAGATAAAGTGCAAAGCCTGAACAATTGAGTTGACTGTCCAGAAGTTTTGACAAGTTCTACTTTACAGTTATTCTGGACACTGGGTTTAAAAAAGATGTATTTAGAGGGACAGAGGTTTAAATGGTTCCTTGCTTTGTATCAGAATTGTAATCATCTTACTCTAGACAAGGGCAAGATGGAGCAAGCTGTAGTCAACAATTTGAATTTTTCTTTAAATTTGACATGATTTCCTACCCATATTGCATTGGCACATTTTTCTTTAGTAAGGTTTGCAGCCTGACGTTTGCCTTTTTCACATGCTTGGTCTCAAAACAGAGTGCAAAAAAAAACGAGCATGGAATACTAGCTTGCTTTTATCTTTTCCCTTGTTTTGTTGTTACCGTTGTTCTTGTTTGTTTTACCTTTTATATATGAATACCATTCCTGTTCTGCTGAAGGCCAGAGCTTTCAGATACAGGTAGAACACTGCTAGGAATGTCCAATTGCTGGTTTTGAGGCGTGCTAGAAATGTACCTTTCTTCGAGAGCTGCTGACATCTGATAGAGCTTTCTGATGTTCCAAAACAATTTCTGTTTTACAGAGCTGTGCAAAAACTGTAGAAGAGTGCTGTGTCATCTAAATGTTTGACTGTCACTCCAACTTGAAAAATTAGTTACCCTCCTTTGCCAGCTGTATAGTTTTATTCTGAATGCAAAAGTTTCAATTTCTGCATACAGGATTTTTAGTTAATGTGCATGTTTTTTAAAAAAATCACTCAATTGCATGGCATTGTACAATTTTTATGGATGTTTGAATGCTTCATCCTGAAATTCTTTTTCAGTAAGCGCTGTTTCACTGATGTGCTGCGTATTGCAGAAGAGCCTTGAGTCATAGCTGAGCCCAGAGATGCTATCATAGAAATAAATATTCAAATGCAACTTCTCATGAAAAGTAAATTAAAGATAATCTGAGTGATTATAAGTTTCATCATTCATACAGGATTGCTCTTTCTGTTAGGGAAGAGAAACTCTTCTTTGAGACTTGCGTAAATCCACAGAGATGCAGTCACAGATACCTAGAGAGATCATTTAAACACACAACAAAACAAGAAACTTCTTGAAGAGTCTGGTTAGGTTTGATCCAGATCACTAGGCAACTTGTTAATAGGTGCTTTAGACACTTAAGCCCTAACCATAGTTTCAGGCTAAATTTAAAGTTTTGATTCATATGTTAATATTTTTGGAACTAATTGGATGCTTTTAGTTACAGCTCTCTAAAGAGTTGTGCAGTTATTACAGTGACTTTTTCCTGAGAACTAGTTGATCCCTGTAGATCTTGCAAGGTGCTTCTGTAGTTCATTTTGTTTAAACCAAAGACTTGTTCTCTGGTAATGCTGCAATCCCTTCTTGGTAAGGGATGGGGAGGAAGAATTAAAAAGGCTGAGCGATTAAAAGACTAAATGATCAAGGCTACCAGAATGCAGTGTACTTTGTCATTGTCTTACCTCTGCATAGAAATGTTATTCGACTAAGTTGTGTTGGTTTTTCATGATTGCTTGAGACAATTTACCTGAAGGGAGATTAATCTGGATTCCTCTAGAGTGAGCCAGAGATCAGCTTCAGGACACAGGCTGCTGTTAGTTTAGGAATTACTCACTCCTTGTGAAGCTCAGCTTCTGACACACCGTAAAAGTGGCTTGTAGTGGGAGGGAAGAGATGGGAGTTCCTTCATTGAAGAATGCCTGTTCAACTCTTCAGAGCCCTCATCAGTCTGACTAAAAGCTTTTTCTTCTGCAGATATTTTTAGTGCTTCAGATTAAAGGGGAGGAGTAGGGCAATGTAATGCTTTGGACTTGAGGTGAATCCCACAATGGAAGAGACAAAAGATACGTTCCTTAACACGAGGGAATGCCTTGAAGCCATCTGAAGGTTTTGGTAACTTGTGTTAATATTAATTAACAGCTAACTGTTAAAGTCAGCTCACCAGCTTCAGCTCTTCCAAGTACGATTTGAGATACTTTCTACTTATAACTAGAAGTGGGGTATGAATTTTATTGAATCTGTAATAGTTCTGTGTCATCAGGCAAAACCAGGAAGGACTTCTTAATCCCAAATGTTTACTATGTTACGCCTTCTCAAAAACCTAAAAGGTTACAGGTTAGTGCATAGTGTTTGGTTTGTGCTTTGGTTTTGTTGTTTGGCTTTTTAATGCTTGCTTCCCTCACCAGACTAATCCCGTTCCTTCCCCTTCTGTTTCTTTTTAGGGATTCAGAGCTTCTGTAAGGACTTACTAGAAGTTGCAGACATTTTGGAGAAAGCAACAGAAAGTGTTCCAAAAGAAGAAATTAAGGATGAAAATCCTCACCTGAAGAGCTTGTATGAAGGTCTTGTCATGACAGAAGTACAGATTCAGAAAGTGTTCAAAAAACATGGCCTGCTCAGACTGAATCCTGTCGGAGCCAAGTTCGATCCCTACGAACACGAGGCGCTGTTCCACGCTCCCATGGAGGGGAAGGAGCCGGGCACTATCGCACTAGTATCCAAGATTGGCTATAAGCTGCACGGGCGTACGCTGCGGCCGGCCTTGGTGGGTGTTGTGAAAGACGCTTAGCTGCTTAATCAGAGAATTGAAAATGCCATACAATTATTAAACAGCTGGATGGTTTTTCTCTTACATCATGCTTCCCTTATTCCCCTGTCCCACAAGAGGTTTCAATGAATCCGTTGAGGTCTCCCAGTCAAAGTGAAGCAAACAATGAATTTCTGTTGCTTAGTGGCCTTCAACATGGGTGTTCTTTAGGCTCTCTTTGAATAGTTACTACAACCATGGCTTCTGACAGTGTTACACTGAAAGGAAGTAAATGCTCACAAGAACCTTGCAATCTCACATTTATCACGGCGTAGATTGCAAGTCCACACAACGGTTCAAAGAGTTCCTTTTGGGTTTTAGAACCTAATGTTGCAGAAGCAGGTGAGGTAAAACAGAAGACCAGTTCTCTGCAAGTATCCATCAGCTTTTGCATGCTGATGGATATGTTTTTTTGTGGTTTTCTTTCTTTTTTTTTTTTTTTTTTTTAAGAATGCCAATTCAGAAATAGTCTCTCAACATCTGAAACTGAAACCTTTGTGACTTCTGACCTGTAAATAAAAGGCAGTGGAGAGCAGACATGCTTTGTTCCACCCTATTAGTTCTCCAGTAAAGTTGACTCACAAAAACCATCTAATACTTGTATGGCATTGAAGAACCAATAGAACTTATCCTATCTCTGGATTTTTAATTTAATATTGTATAAATTGGTTTAAACAATTTTGATAGTCCTGTAACTTCCAAGCTCTATAATCAGTTTGTTATGCAAACTGTAGGTAAAACCCTGCTGAAATATACCTATATAGAATACCTATAGAAGTGAATAGCCGAGAGTTTGGTACCTACTATATTTTAGAATTACATAAATAATTGCATGTAAGTGGCTCAAACACAAATGTGAATGGTTTCATCTCCATTTCTTTCATTTATTCATCTTGGGTCTTAGGCTGCAACAGAACTTTGCCCACATGCAGCTCTTGCCACATTTAATTCTACCTGCTGCTCCCAGTTGTGCAGAATCAGCCTAAAATACAATACAGTGATTAACAGAGTACTTTGTTCTGCATCTGTCTGGTCACCTGGATCGGAGTGGATGGGACTTGGCAAATCAGAGCTGACAAAGTGTCTGTCCTCTTAGAGCTTCAAAGTCCAGGTGTTTAACACACAAGACAAACATCAAAGTTATGCACCTTATTTAGGATCTGGTAAACAAACAGTAAGTACTTCTGAATTTTTCACCTTCGCTTCTGGCTGTCTCGGATTAAGGAGCTTCTTAGTTTAAGGCTCTAGTATTTTTTTATTTTTTAAAATTCAGGTGCAGAGTTGCCAACAGTTCACCGAATACTACACCTATTCATAGTGAGAAGTGATTATTTTTTTTCCAGTACTGGTTTGCCTCATGAGAACCAGACAGGCAACTAGGAACAGCCAAAGTGCATACAGCTGTTTTGGGGTTAATCACGCTTGGGAATTCACTTAGTCTTTCTCAACTAACAAAATCAATGCTTTGACTGGATAGGGGAGGGAGAATAATTTTTGGTGACTGTGAAGACAGCTTGAGTGTTAACTTCTTAAACTAATCAAGAACAGAGATGAAAAGGCAAAGATTACATATAAAACTACAGGAGAAAGGGATTCCATACAGCTGAAGTGAATTTGGTAGTAACTTCCTCCCAGCTGTGGCTGTGGGATAGAGGATGGAGGCTGGAACCTGTGTTCAGCTGTGACATGCCCTTAAGGGACCAGCATTAACTTCTGTACCTTTTTAAAAGCAAACAAAACCCACTCTTACCTAAACTAAATTTAACTTCTTCAGTGCAGATTCTTCCAGCAGGACAATTAAGGCAAAGGACCAGGTTCTTCCCCAGCAAATCAAGATCTTGTCAGTGAGCTCCAGCACCTCTTAATGTCTTTTTTTGCCTACATTACTTAATTCAAGGTATAGTTGAACACAACTTACTGGTAAAGGTTCAGCACAAGACTCAAACTCGTATCTTTAATAGCAGCTGAGCTGACTTGTTCCTTTCCCTCAGTCTGCCCCTTCTGAGAGGCTGTCAGTAAGGAGAACCTTTAGCAAGAGCTCAGACCACCGCTGTACAGCAGCGTACAGGTTGGAGGCACTGAAGAAACCAAAGCCCAGGTGGTTCTGAAGCTCAAGCGTAAGAGCAGTTCACAAAGCTGCCAGTGCCACTACTTCTGGCTCAGCTGATTGAGCAAGATCATTTCTCTGCCCACCACCATTTAGCTAAAAGCATCTCTATTTACAGCTGGGAAAGTTTTAGTGATTTTCATCATTGCAATACAAGCTACATTGCCATGAAATCAATGATGGAAAGAAATTTTAATACAAGTTTATTTACCAATATACAATGCAAAAACCTAGTAAAATGCTGAGTGCGCACAACATCAGTTAGGTTTTACATGATTTCAGCACAGGCATTTGTGTGTCTGGCACAGCGACACCAGTACACCACTCAAATGAGTGCAACATTCCCTTTAAGGAAGCAGCTGATGAACTTAAAGTGCTCACCAGGTGCCTTCCTTCACAGTATTTTAATTCATCATCGCTTAAGAGCAACCGGGGCACATGCAAAAAACATTTTGCAAGAAAGAATAGGAAACCAAAAGGCTAAGGAAGTCAGTTACAGTCGCAAAGAAATTTGATGCAGCCACCACACAAGAGAATAATGGCAGAGTGCTTAGGTTGTGTGATTAACGAGGCTGTTTGTGGTCCAAGACTGGTGCAAACCCACTTGTGGAGTTCTTAGTGCTTGCTGGGACCGGGCAGGACATAGGGCAGGAGGTCTGCATCCAGCACACTGCCTAACGAGCCCTTTGGGCTGGGTCGCACACAGAGCACAGAGGTTACTGCTCCTTCATTAGTGAGCAAATAGTGCTGTAAAGCATCACTGGACTGATGGAAGGAAGTGACCAGCAGCCAAACAATTACTGCTGCCTCGACCAGTAGCAGAAGACTGCTGTTCTGAACAGCTGATGGACTGGCACTTTTTCATAGCCTTACATCAATGCTGTTAGGCAGGTATTAGCATTAGGAAATTTTTTAGTCAGGAAAATAGTCAAGAGGTAAGCATATCAAACACCTTTTCATTAGCCACATGAAGCCTGGAGTATTTGTACACTACAGGAAAGGCTTCCTGATAAACACAAGAGACAAGCTGAAGAGCGTTTGCCGTGGTTGTTCTCAGCCCCTTCACCACACAAGAGAAGCAGCAGAGCTCGAGTCAATTGCTGGATTAAGATAACTGCATCTCAACTGAAGAAAACAAAACAGCAGCTCATAACGAAGGAATGCTTAGGCTAAATCGGTTCCACGTGAAAATATGGAACAGCAGCATCCTCTAGTGCAAGTCACCTTTAAAATTAAAAGCACAGCTGACACTGAGACATTGCTTCTAGGGAAGCCCTTTCCAAGGGAGCAGCATTTGCTAAAGCAAACATTTACCACCTTGAATTTGCTTGCAAGTATAAAATAAATATTGATATCCATATTTCATACATTAAAAATACTTTTATTTTACATTCATTCTGATGTTCAATAAGTTACGTCTAGCACCAAAGAAACATTTTGGAGGGGCTGAGGAATTAAGCAAAGTGTAAGCACAGAATTAATTTCTACAGCATTTAAATGACTCATTGGTGCCTAGGTTTTTTGTTTTTTAAGTTATTGTTCAGATTGGCATCAGGCTATTGCTTCAGTTAGACTTAGGTGTGCCGAAGCACTATAGAAATATAAAAGTTATATTTGAGAAAAAAAAAATCAGAAGACCCACAATTCTTTTAAGCTCCCAGCCACACAGAGCTGAGGCTCCCGACCACCACCAGTGTTATGGCAGCTGGGAAACGGGGTGCGGGAAGAACCACATTGCATAACTACAGTCCTAGAAAGGATTCCTTCCTTTCCACGGGAGTAGGCCAGAGGAAATCTTGGTTTACACCTTCTGAACTTGGCTTGTGTGCTCCTTGTACGCGCGTGTTGGTGAAGCTGCTCAGCACGCGCGGGCAGTTACACCCCTGCCACGGGTCTGCCTCAGGGAGCCCACAGGTGAGCCAAACAAGAAGTGACATCAGAGAGGACATAGCCCTTTCCTTTTCCAAGGGACAGAATATAACAAGCTCAAAAGAAAAAGGCACTAGAGTTTGGTTTTGTGTTTCTCCTTGGAAACGCTGGCTTTGTATCTGTACCCTCTGTTCTGAACCCCCTGCTAACGCTGCCTTCACGCTGCTGGCTCTGCTAACTGAAGACCCTTTCTGGTCAGCGTGCCTCTGGCAAGGTGCAGCATTAATACTGGTTCTAAGGTTTCACGATATCCTCACTGACTACAGCCCAAGGTAGCCACACAAGATTGCATTTCCAGTGTGTGCATTTGTTCTGAACTCTGTCAGGTTCCATTTTTTGGCACATCACACTCCAGAAGAGCTGCCCAGCTGGCCTCTCCGTCACCGCTTCCTGCTCTGGACAGCATCAACTTGTTTGTTTTTTTTTTTTTAATTATTCATTTGGGTAAATGCCAGCACAGGACCTTAAGAATTAAGTGAGGCTAAGAATCCTTTCCTAGTCATCCTTCAACATCGCTCCTTTACTCGGCACATACTGCTGACATACTGCTGCGGCTCAGGCGGTGCCGCCCTGCGCTCTGCTACGCTGCAAGTTCGCGCCTGCTGCCGGCACCCGGCTCGCTCTGCAGCCCTCTGACAGCTCACAGCGCCCTGCCGAGCGCGCCGCTACCTCTGCAGCACGCTGACACCACCGCTCTGCCAGCCGCACATTGACGGTTTCAACCTCAGCACGTTTAGCCCAATGCATTTCACAGTGTGTGCAATGAGAAGCCAGGAATGGCTTGAGTTACACTTCTGTGCTTCAGGAGCACAGCAGCTGTGCGTTTTGATCTAAATCACTTAGTTTTGTTTCTAAAAACCAATCTTGGGGGTCACTAGGAGCTAGAGAAGGTAGCTCCTGACCAAATTCAGGAGGCAGCTACGTATCCTCAGCCCACCTGTGCTCAGAAACCCCAGGCACCAAAGGAGGAGGCTCCCCCAGCAGGAGCTAACAGTGATTTTTGCTGCCTGAGGCTCCCAAAAGCTGTGAGCCAGTTACCTGCATGCTCACCTGCACCACCTTTCTGGCCAGAACCCAACACTTTGCAGCAGCGCTGACCCCAGAGCAGAGCACCACCACAGCTGCCTCGCACTCCTGCAGCTTTGCTACATAACACTGAAGCTCTCCGCGGGGTGTTTCGGCAACAATTCACACCAAACCTACAGCCAGAGCAGCCGGGTGCAAAGGCAGCTCCCCCACAACCCTTCTCACAGCACAAGCACCCAAAGGCACCTCACCTACCGCCGTCCTTCCTTCCCGCCCCCCAGCACGACTCATCCCTGCAGAGCCTCTCGCCCCCTGTCCCACCACCCCGGTGTAGTTACTAAGGAGAACACTCTGACAGCTTAGCAGCGGCCACACAGATCCCTGCTCACCGTGCCTGAGAGCCCAGGACTTTCCTAAGTTCTGCTTTGCTGCCAGCATTATGCCAAAAACAACGGGGAGAAAACAATTTCGTTTGCTGGAAACCATTTCCCACCTTCAAAAAAATAAAAAAGCAAGGGCTACACTGACACTCGTTTGTCCAACAGTAACAGGTCTACCCTGGGACCATTGGACTTGAGTAAGCTCCCACGGAAGAGATCTGTTCTAACGATGTACCCAAAGCAAAGCACTCTAACGAGTAACGAAATCTAACTGAGAAGTGTCACGAGTAAGCATTTCTCATGATCCAAAGCAAAAGTCTACTTGAACAATGGACCATGAACATTATGGATTTTTTTTTGCCTTTTTTTTTTTTTTTGCCTGTTTTGAATGAGAAAATTTCTGTATCTTTGGGGAGGGCAGGAAAAAAATAACGGAGTCCTTGAGGCTGCAATGGGGCCTCTGACGCGATTTCTCGGAAGAGTTTCATGAAGCATCTCGGGATATCCACCCGCTTTCTGTTAGAAAGTTTAAAATCCTTTTCTTCAGTACCTTATCTAAGTAACTGGGAAGGCGGCTCTTTGAAGGGATTCCTTGTCTTTTTTGAAGATGGTCTTTAATGATGATGGTTTTCACAGTCACGTAACGTGCAGGACTCAAGTTTAGAGAGCTGCAGAGCACTTTTTCCCTGTCCGATAAGAGTTCAAAGCCAGGCAGGTTTTCAATGGCAGCAAATTCACCTTCTTTACCATCTTCCTTCCCCCTCTTGGAACTGGCTATGTTTTTGTTCTCCTTCCTCTTTTCCCGTTTGTGCCTGGCTGCCTCGTACTCTGCCGACTCCTCCATTTTGGTGATTCCATTGCGGCGATACCGCTGCAGCTCCCGAATCTTCGCTCGAAGTATTCTCTCCTTGTGCATGTTCTCAAAGAAGTCCTCAAACTCCTTACAGGACATGAACTGGTACAGGGGCCTCAGCTTCAGCCTCAGCTCCTTCTCTTCCTTTGTGATCTTTCGTTTGGGCGTTTTCTCCTTGTCCTTTTTATCCTTCCCCAGGAAGGCGGGCACCAAGTTATAGTCTCGTGCAATGTTCTTCCGCCGCTGCCTCTCCTTGAGTTTCCTCACGTACATGTCTACGTGGGCTCGTTTGAGCTCTATTTCCACGTCGTCGTCGTCATAGTTCACCGAGAGGCCGCTGATCAGAGTCTCGGCATCCTGATCGTACTCGATCTCGTAGTCGTCCCGAAGCGGCATGTAGCCCAGCTGCTGCTGCTCGGCCACCGAAATATCCAGCGGTGGGAGTGGCGTTGTCAAGCTCGGAGAAAGCGGGCCGCCGCTCGGGCACGTGTGGTCCGTCACCCGGTTGGGGATCGTGTCGGGGATGCAGGCCTTGCCCAGGTTGCCGTGGATGTACATGCTGACGTAGTGTTCCATCACCTCCTGCGGCGTGCGGGAGGCTCCCACGTGCGCAGCCATGTCCTCCTGCAGGGAAACGAGGAGGAGCAGTGATGTGATTCCTGTTACACCCCAGGTATAACACGCACTCCTTCCCCATCCCTAGAAAACCAACCCTCAATACCCTGACTGTTGTGGCAGTACTGAAATGAGACACGCTGCCACGTGTTTAGGTCCAGGTGAGTACTTTAGGTCCAGGAAAGCATTTACAAGTGCACAAGGGCACGCAAGCAACGACACAAGTATCAGAAATGTGTGAGGCCACAACGAACATCAGCACGGGAAGCTGCCTCGGGTCTGCCTCTGGTTAGAGGAGCACTGCCCGCGCTCTGGATCCGGGTGGTAACTGCTGGGCATCCACTGCTCTCCTGGGAAGTCGCCTTGCTGCCACCACGCAGTGCCTGCAAGGTCCCTGTGAGTGCTGAGCCCACCGCCTCGTTGGGGGCTGTTCGTTTATAGTGTGCCCTGAGTACTTTCAGAGCAATACAGAAATAAGACACACGGCATTTATGTCTCTTTTCTAATTAGTTTGTTATTAAACGAGCTAGAGTTATCATAGCCCTCAAGAGTTTGAAAAACAACCCTAGAATCACGAAGTTATGGGATGGTGAAGGTTGGAAACACCCTCCAGGACCACCTGGTCCACCCCCCCCCCCCCACCACGTCCCCAGGCACCACACCCAGCCCCTCCCCGAACACCCCCAGTGCCGGTGACCCCCCCACCCCCCGCACAAGCCACCTCAGCGCCCACCCGCTCCCCCCGAGGCCGCCCCCCCCGCCCGTTACCCGCCCCTCAGCCACCCCCTGAGGCGGGCGCGGGGCCGAGCGCGGCCTGCCCGGGGCCGGCCGTGCCCTTACCCAGTTCCCGAAGCCGAACTGCTCGATGGCGTCCAGCAGCAGCTGCTCCTCGCGGCTGCTCCAGCCGCCCTCCGCCTCGGCGCCCCACAGCGTGAAGCGGCCGCCGTCCACCAGCTGGTAGCCGTGCCATCGCCGGTGCGGCCCGATCTCGGCGCCGGCGGCGAAGCACTCGGGGCACAGCTCGATGTCGGCGCACTCGGTGCAGCGGAAGCGCAGGGAGCTCACCTCGGCCAGGCAGTACACGCAGTACTTCTTGCCCAGCTCCGCCATCTTACCCCCCCCTCCCCCCCGCCTTCCTCCTCCTCCTCCTCCTCCTCCTCCTCCTCCCCCCGCCCAGCCGCGCGCGCGCCTCGCCCCGCCCCGCCCGCCCTCCTCCCCCCGGGGCGCGCCGCAGCCAATCGCGGAGGGGCTCTCCCACCGCTAAGGGCAGCGGGGGTAAGGAGAGAGGCCGGCGCCCATTGGAGGAGGGGAAGGCGACCGCCCGCGCGGAGCCCAATCGGAGAGGGGGCGCCGAGCGACCCCGCCGCTGAGTGGTTGGTAAAGGAAAGGGGCGGGGCTTCGGGGGCAAGGGGTGAAGGGAGGGGCGCTGAGGCGTTGCCATAGCGACGGGGGAAGCCAGGGGGAGGCCGGCATGGCGGCGGGGACGGGGCACGGGGGCGCGCCGGGAGACAGCGGGGCAGGAGCGGAGGAGCCGAGAGTAGAGGAGCCGGTGCCCCAGGAGCCGCCGGGGCTGGAACTGGGGGAGCCGGGACCCGGAGGAGCAGGACCGGAGGGGCCGGGCCCGGGACCTGAGGAGGCAGGACCCGGGGGGCCAGGGCCCGAGGAGCCGCCGGGGACGGAGCTGGGGGAGCCGGGACCCGGGGAGCCGCCAGGACCCGGAGGAGCAGGACCCGAGGGGCCAGGACCCGGGGAGCTGCCGGAGCCGGGACCGGAGGAGCCGGGACTGGAGGAGCCGGGACTCGGGGAGCCGGGGCCAGAGGAACCACCGGGGCCGGGGCTAAAGGGGCCGGGACCCGAAGAGCCAGGACACACGGAGCCGGGACCCGAGGAGCCGCCGGAGCCGGGACCCGAGGAGCCGCCGGGGCCAGTCCCGGAGTCCGCCCCCGGGGCCCCCGAGGTGGCCGGCGGAGCCCTCAGGTCCCGCTGCGGCCGCGGAGCCGCCCGCCCCCGGAGCCAACGGGGCCGCGCCGGGACCCTCGGAGAAGGAGGAGGAGGAGGAGGAGGAGGAGGAGGAGGAAGGCGGCGACCCGGCGGAGGAGCAGCGGGAGCGGGCGGCGCTGCTGGAGGAGCACCGCGGGCTGGCGAGCGAGCGGGAGCGGCTGCGGCCGGCGGGCGCCCTGCTGCAGCTGCGGCTGGGAGAGCTGCTGAGGCTGCGGAAGGGAGAGAGGCCTGCGGCGGGGGGAGGAGGCGGGAGGCAGGCGCCGGCCTACGGGGAGCGGCTGCGGGAGCTGAGGGAGCTGCGGGAGGTGCGGCAGTGGGCCCAGGCCGCCTGCGAGCAGCGGGTGAGAGCCCGCAGCGGGACGTGCCGGGAGAGCGAGGCCCGGGCCGAGGAGCAGTGGGAGGCTTTCCAGCACCGCAAAAAGGCCCTGGCCCTCCGAGCACTCGGCAACAGGCTGGGCGGCCGGGCGGCGGCTGTGCAGGTGGTGGACGGCGTGCTGGCCAAGGAGCAGGTCAAGGAGAGAGCGGTGAGGGAGGTGAGGAGAGTTCACCCAGAGTTTGGGTACCTCTGGGTACCCCTGGGCTGCTCAAGTTTCCAAAAAGGACGGGGTTGTCCTCTTAAACCTAGGGCACTGCCTTCCGGGGGCAACGCAGAATCATAAAATCTTGCCTTGAAGCTTTCCTCTTGTCACTACCGACTTTAACCCCAAGCACTTCTACCACAGCAAGACGAGGATTAAGTTAAATCATTCTTTCACTTTCTGCCCCTCCAGGTCCGTGTGGAAAACGTCAAGGTGAAGCTTGAAATCCAAAGCCTTGAAGCGGTCTTGAAAGCCCAAGGAGAGCTGTTAAAAGGCCAGAGTTTCGCAGACTTGGCGTACATGAAGAAAGAGAATCAGAAGCTCGTCGAAAAGTTTGATGACCTCTGTGGTGAAATTCTGAAGCTCAAAGCGCAGGTATCCACAGCAGTGCACATTCTCAGCCATTACAGGGAGAAACTACGGTTTGTGGAGGCTGAGAACCAGGTCAGAGAAGCCGAACTGATGGACATTGACATCCTTTTGTCACAGAAGAGAGACTTCCTCACCAGAAAGAAACAGGCCAGGGACAGGCTGCGGGCAAATACCCTGAAACTGCAGCAGAAACGTGGGCTGGTTGGAAATGAGGTGCTGCTTCGGGACTTTGAGGAGAAGGTGGACTACCCTGGAGTTGTTACGTCAGCAGCTGGAAACCCTGAAACGTCACCACACTGGCCTGATCCTTACACGTAGGGAAATTAGGAAAAAAGTCAGGGAAGCCAATTCAGTTCTACCTTTTTAGGCAAAGAAAGCATGGAAAAGATATACGCCAAGGAGTTCTCTGTAGTTCTCATTTTTAACATGCTTCTTTTTGGTAAATCCTAGGGAAGATATTACACACGTACTCCTGAAAAAGACTTTTCTAAACGACATCAATACTTGGTAGTAAGTGATTATAGTACTCGTTTCTGAGTGACACCATATACCTATTCACTTATTTTTTAAAAAGAAAACCAGTCCAAAGCCTACACTTCTGGGAAATCACCTGTGCTTGGTCCTGTAAGGCCATGGCAATATTGTTTAGGCCATGGCAATATTGTTTAAGCAGAGCACTCACCGCACTCTGATTCAAACCCTGCTTCTACCACCCCCCACTATGGTTCTTACACTTTAGTATGAACTTCATCTGTAAGCTAAACCTACCTGCCTTCTAGGCAGGTCCTGGATTAAAAATAATTAATTATAAGGGTTACTTTTCATAGATGTGGCCAAGCACTGAACAGAGAAGCGTACTGTGAAAACCCAGCTTGCCTCGCATACAGCCAATACGCTGCAGAAGCACCAAATCCCTCACCCATTCTGTAAATACAGTTGGCTGCAAAGTTTGTCTTGGTGGCGTACAAGAAGAAATTTTTACTACTTTAAAAATATACATCCATCTTATTCAGAACTAGAGTTCTGGTGGTTTTTTATTATTATTTGTTTTACTTGGTCTTTCAACTTTTATGGACCCTCAGCCTTGTGTGTGATATGTCATGGTGTGGGACAAGATACGGAGCAGCATGAACCCATCACCATTTTTGTCCCCTCTGCACTGTTCAACTGTAGTGTCAGAATTCCAGAAGACTGAAGAAAAAGGAGGGGAAGAGAAATGTTCACGCATGTATGTGTATACAGCTCACACAGCTGTAGTTCCAGGAAGCAGCTTCTGTTTTCAAAATGGCGTATTCCTAAAATTCCCACAAGACACATGAAAAACGGCATCTACAAGACTTATCTACATCATGCAGCTCTTGCTGCTGCGAGGGCAGCATCGTTTTTCACTAAGGCAGGGGATGATGTTGAGAATACAGAAACATCTTGGGCCAGTAAAATGCCGGAGTTGCGATGAGTACGTTCTCCTTCCTGAAAGAGCTGCAACCAACCAGCTGATGGGCAGCCCAATTATTGCCTGATTCTTGAACCTAGCAAATTGCTCATTTCCATCCATTTCTACGTTGCTTAGACAGACCTGATCTTTTTAGTCAGAATTAGGTATAGAAGGCCCAGACACGAGTCTTTAAAGGCTGTGAATTTTGCAGCAAAGCAGCTACATCCCAGTGGGAAAGAGGAGGAGGGGAGTCTTTTGGTCTCCCACCACAGGCTGGAATCACACCCTGTGGGACCAGCATTGCTAAGCTCTACTTGAGCTGCAGGTCCCAGCCCCGAAGTTGCATACGTGTTTACACAAAGCACACAGGGCACTGAATACACTTGCAAGGGGATAAAAGTAGATAAGCACGTAAAGACATTCCCAACAACTTACTCCTTTCTCTTTTAAATGAACTAGGTTTTCTGAACTCTCTAGTTAGTTAAAGGCCAGAACATAATTGGTTATTACACTATTGAAACTTACTTTTTTTGTTCTTTTTTGTCACGGAGAAATGGCAGTCTTCAAAGAGATCAGTGGTTTCTTACTTGGTACAGTCATGCCGAGCAATCTGGTTATATTCTTCTAGGGTCCTGACAGTTTTGCTGAACTATTCCATAAACAGAAAAAAGTCAAGTACTCTCTAACTTAGTAGCTCACAACCTGTTTATGAAGACTGACTATACACAACTAGGAACTTTTCACAAAATGCCAGCGTATCTATCTGTTGCTGGATAGTAAAAGGACACAAGTGCAACTGCCAGCCATTTATCAAGAAAAAAAAGACATTATAAATCATGACCCTTCACCATAACCTCGTGTTTGGTAATGGGGCTTTTCTCCTGCTGAGAAGACTGGTTATTGCCCAGGTTGAGTAGCCTCTTAATGTTCCGTGAAACTGCTTCCATAAATACTACTGGATGATTAGCAGTCACGTCTGTAAGAGAAGTAACTCTTATCTTATTAATTAAAATTCCTGCCAGGGAAATTCTTAAACTTCTTGCTGCTTTTGGCTTAAGAGAAGGTTTCCTTCCATCTCTTAACTTCCTAAAGGTTATTAAGCAACAAACGTACACAGGTAAAGGGAGTGAGGAGCAGGAAAGTACAGCTCGGGTGCTTTTCATTGCTGCACGTTTGAGATCTGGAAAAGACAGGAATTTAAGGTGCAAATGAAGTTGACAGCATATTCCATGTCCCTGAGATGGGATTTCTACTGAAACATACTATTAAGACATTAATCCTCACAATGCCTCCAGGGTTTTTTCTTAGTCCTGCGCTGCTGAGATAACCCGCTGCTATGCTGGCCTTCCAAAGCACCCCAAAGGTGTAAGGATCAAAGATTTCTCCGTTTTCCTCCTGAAAACATAGGAAGACAATCTGTTGAGGAAGTAGCCAAGATAAATCAGATTTTACCTATTAATCTCAGTATTACCTGTCTTCAGGCAGATTAGAATTAGCACTGGGAAAACAAGTCAGAAAACCTAGTTTTAAACAATTTTATGCAATTCCTGTAATGTATCTAATATAAATGTCTACCAGTTTCAAGTTGGTATAGGCTCACATAAGGCAATTTTGATGTCATGTTCTAATCCAGCAAATCCAACAGGAAGATACTTCAGTACGAGGCAGCGAGAGGCGTTTCCCAGAGGAAACTCTAACAGTGGCAGCCAAGTCTTTGATTATGTTCCCCTGCAGTCTTGTTGCACAGGTAGTTTCTCCCCAGCTTGTGTCTAAGTTCTGTTTTTATCTGGTGTTTTAACCCTTTTCCAGATAATTAAGGGATGGGAAGCTTCTCCACTCGAATATCTGAAGTTAGGTTTACGTAAGAATTAAAGCAAAACCACCTCAAGATGAGCACAAGGACACCTAGCAATTACGGAACAAAATAAACCATGTTTTCTTCTTTTATAACAAAGTTTTAATTTCTGAATTACGCTGACAACAGGTGATTTAAGATAACTTTACATGACTTTATTTAATAAAACCATATATTTACAGTTGAAAAAGTTCCAGTTTGATACACGTATCTAAACAAAACATGTAACTACATAAAAACAATTTGAACATGATGTACAGGGGATGTATCAACAGTTCTCTACATGTCACTCTAGTTTTTGAAACATTCAAAAGAAGCTGTTATAAGGTACCTCTCCAAATAAAAGTCTGTACTGAACGAAATACGTTAATGGATTGATTGCGGATTGGAGTTGTGGAACGGCTTTACAATAAAGTGCAGGTTGTACAGAATTCCTAACCTGGTTGAAGTTTTCTGTTTGTTTTCTCTCACCTGCTGCACGTGCAGTGACAGTTGCAGCCTTCTGATGTATTGCAGCATTTTTATTTCTCCTTAAACCCATGAAGAACATAAAACAGTTTGCTTTGATGGGGACACCTGTTCAATGGGAGAAAATCTCATGCATCACGTTACAGATGCCCTCAGGCATCCAAACAATAAAATTAAGTTGTCAAAATCTTTTATGCAATCCCTGAATTTATTACAGAAACCCTCCTTAATAATCAAGAGATTTGGTATGCTGCAAGAAATTTAAAAAGCTCAGTGGCAAGTAATTCTAAGCCATTACAACTCAACTCTGTTTTTATCAAAATTCAAGCATTATTTTCAAATCAAGGTACTGACAAGTTGAAACAATTGCATCTTCAGGCAGGTGATTTTGTTTTTTTCAAATGCATTTTGTTTGAAAACAAACTGTGCAAAGCTCCTTATTGCATTGCTTTTCTTCATTAAAGAACATACCTTATATACACAAAGAAATCATTTAGAAAATATATACATCTTCTAAAAACAGAAAGATCAAATCACTGAACAAAATAATTACGTTTGCAAGTAACAAACAGTGCACAGGTGTTGCAGCAGGCCTTTTCCCACAACTATGCCCATTTCCACTCTTACATTCAACATGTTACTGAGAAGAAAAAAACGAGAACAGGCTGCAGATGGCTAAAACAGACCTACTGGCTCCAGAATATATTCTAATCAGACAAGCGAGCCATCCTTTGAGACTTGGTTTAAACAGAAATACACACCTAGTTACAGGGAGGACTTAAATCACAAAGCCAGTTACAGTACCACCTAAAAAACGTATGCTGCGTAAAGAGTTGTCTCTGTGTTTAATAAATCATTTAAAAGCATAGTGCAAATGTTGGGGATGTTAGGCCTCTCATACCCTTTGTGAAAAGGTGTATTTGTTGTAGTAAAAGTAGCATTAAAAACCACTTACTGACCTTCCAGCTTTCTATTGCACATCAAAGCAATGTACCGTACAAGTACCGCTCATTAAAGGATCCTACACAAATCCTGGGAGAATTAACGGGCTTTCATATCAACATCCTGATGTCTGTTTTCAGTAAGCGATGGCCCAGAAGAAGCCTTTTGGAGAAATTCAGATGGCCAACAAAAAATACATATGTCTATTACACCAGGTACACGAAGTGGACAGGAAAAAAGGCCAATGAGGTAACAGACTTGCAAGCTGCACTTGTAGTACATGTATTCCAAAGTGATAGGAGTCTTCAAACAGTTAACCAAGAAACCTTGTTTCATTCTTTTTTAACGTTACAGTCAAAGTACCACTCACAGAAAGAATGTTGTACTAAAGGAGAGTCTTTTGATTACATCCCTTACTGTCTAGGTTGATTTGAGCAGTGTGCAACTATTATTCTCATGTTTTTATTCAGACAATGCCAAAATGCTCAGCATAAAACAGACTGAAAAGCACTGGGAAGCCTATGGCCACATAGCTGGAGGAGCTAGTAATTCCCGGTGACAGTTAACACAAATATTGCTTCGGTTAGTTTCCCTTTTCAATGGTAGCCATTATTTATAAAACAGATTTTACACTATAAACATTCTTGTAAATCAGAGGCACTCATGATTTACAGTTCAACATTCATCTGAATGCAGAGGGAACCCGAGCGGAGTAACGACTGAGCATCTGCTGTTGGCTCTGTAACGTGCTCACCTCTACTCGAGGCTGGCTTCAATGCTAGGAAATGACAGCCTGTACCTGTTCCCACAGTATTTGTCTGACACATTTCCCAATAAATTTCTACTCATTACCACATCAAGTTCAGCTCCATTTACGCTTTTCCACTATGGCAGCAGCAACCTCAAGAGATCCCCTGTAAGCTTTTCTTTTCAGCAGCAGTGTTGGCTTATGGAACTCCTCCCCTGTGCCCTTCCTCCTCGGTTTTGCCAGCGAGCAGAGCTAGGTTTCAAGTACCCATAAAAATTCCTTTTAACCACCTCTCATCTGCCCAGCCCACGGTTTTATCAGTTGGCCAGATGGCACAGCAATAAGTAGCTGGTAGGCAGGAACACCCTGGAGCAGCACTGCCCAGAGGAGGGAGACATGGAAGCATACAGTTACTAGTATGTGACCCCGTGTTTGAGCAGAGGCAAGACAGTACAATTGGGAAATAATGCCAGCTCCGTGCTAGACCCACACCTGGTGAGTCTGGGATCTAGCCGGAAAAATGGAACATTTTCCACGTGCATCCAGATTGGAACACGGATTTCCAAGGCATCTTGAAGAATAATTGGTTTTACACTGCTAGCATGACTTCTTTTCCAAGTTAACTTAACGTTTTTCCTTAAAGGATGGAATGTAGTTCTATGTCTACATGATCTCTTTGGTAAATGGGACCTACAGCCTATAAAACCAGAAGCATTTCTAAAGAAATGGTCCTTACATCGTTTAAGTATAAATTCCAGCACCAGTTATTTAAAACCCAGATCCAGCTCCTGTGAGGGGTATGGGAAACACATCCTGCCTAACAACAAAACTAGGGAATAGCTTTCAAAGCAACCGACAGTGCTGAATGCCCGGTATTTTAAAACATCAGTGAAAAAAAGGAAAGAAACCTTAATGGTGCTTAGTTTTACTGCCCTCATCAGACACCTGATGTGTATCGCTGTCCACTGCAAACGCTCACTCTGCTAAAAGTTTAAGGCTAAGCCTAGGTTTCACTTACAAAGGTTTTAACCCCCCACCTCCTTTTTTTTTTTCCTTCTCTCTTCCTCTCTCCCCTTTAAGGCTATCCTACTACTGAAAAAGAACTGAAGTAACACTTTGATTTGCAGGCTCACACGTGTCAAAACACTATCCAATACTTTTGCCACTTTCCATCTTTTCCTCTGAGTTCCTGGAGGCAGCCGGAGTTAACGTTTGAGGGAAGGGCTTCCTTTTTCCATTTCCCGGTTATCCTTCTGCAGAGCAGCCAGTATCTAGACATTTCAGGGAATGAGAGAGAAAAAATGTATTAGGTTTACAAATAAATCCCTGTCCAAAGACTTTCTGATTTCATTACCCCTGAGCAATACTATTTTAGCTGTTGAATCTAGTTAGGTTCTCAAAACTGAGAACCTCTCTGCCGAAGACCATCCTTGTGCCATGGGAAATACAAATGGATTTAATGATGGTTCAATCTCTCCCCAACACACACACACTCACTCTTGAAGCCTGGATGTGGGATTTTTACCCAGACTACATAAGTGTACCACTACCAAAAGAAGCTGCCTGAGGGGAATTTATAATTCTCAGGATAAATGAACTGTCTGAAACCACAGCAACTGGGCAGCCTGTTTGGAATTCCCATAGCACTGACTGGTGCTTGCCTAGAGCACATTGCTGTCCCCACATCTGCTTCTGTGATTTTCTGAAGCAAAAAATCACCATTTGCATTCAGATCGAAAACTTTTATTTCCTATTAGCCGATGCACAATTTTGTTAGCCCTCATGACTTGCAGACAGCACACTGCCACCAGTTCCTCGTGCTGCTCAAGCAGCATGAGCTCCCTGCCCTCTGGTTACTCCCCCCGCAGCACAGCAGCAGCCCCAGGATCTACCCGGGAACCGATGTACTTCGGGACATTTCCTCTCAAAGAACTGCAGCTACAGGTGAGCAACTCTGACCAATTTCAAACAAACTTCTGCATCGTCAGAATTAACAGCAAGTAGGTGTAAATCACTCAGAGCAATTCCATAACACTGCCTGCATTTCAAAGCAAAAGCATCCGAGCTGTTGCAACAGGTGTTCAACAGAGGCATGAACAGAGCTGCTGCTGGTGGGCTGTTTGACAGCTTCTAGAATTGGAGAGATTTCAGCAAGGTCCTGCTCAAAGATATTCTGAATAAATCAACAGCTACTCCATCAAATGAGCTTACTGAGACTTTGAAGTGCCATAGGAACAATGTTCTTCATGGAAAAAAAAACTTTTTAAGGAGTCTGAGAGTGAAACCAAAATACTGATCCAGAAAAGCATTTTACATAGACCTTAAGCCAGCTGCCAGAAAGCTCGGATTCCTTAGTTATTTGGAAAACTTAATGGAGCTAAAATCAAAGCACAAATTCCAGAAACACTAAGCCAAGAGCCTAAGCTGTTTCTCCACACCTGATGCCAAAGCCATGAGTATGACTGCCGCTCACAGTTCAGACTAAGGCTGTACTGGCACAAGAACCTGGAGATCCTTGTTGTAACTCCAGAAGAAAACCAGAACTTGCAGGCTTCCCGTTGACACCCACACTCCTTGTTACCAGACATGGCCTGGTCATCATTCAGCCGGTCTCCTTCAGTCTTTAGTTTCCTGATCATGCTGTTAGAACGACCAAGAGAAAATGGAGTGAGATGGAAAACCCCACCAGCCTGTCTGACAAGGGAAGCAGGATTAATAAGCAGCCTGAAACATTTTAAATGAGGTCCTACAAATGTAATCTCTGGACAGCATCATCCCAGAACGTGACACGCAGGATACCAACACCAGAATTACCAGAGTACAGCAAAGTGCATGGTTCAGTGCTTTTCTGAGGTTCAAGTATACCTACTGCTGAGACCGGAGTCTGAATTTGACTTCCTAGCTCTACACGCTCAAATACACTCCTAACAAAGAAGCAGCAGCTCAAGTTACCCTGCTTGCTTATGCAGGACAGTTACTGTAACCAAACGAGATGATGCTGAGATGGGGCAACACCATTTTTTTAAGCTCAGGAGCATTTGGCATCCTCTGCAAAGTAGTGCCCCTGGTCAGTCAGTCCACCTAGAAGTTTAACTCCAAAGCAGAGAATCCATCACACTTGATGTTCATTTTGCTAATTTGTAAAGGCATTTCCCTAGGAAAAAAAATGGTACTACAGCAAAGTATCTAACTTCTACCAAAATACTCATAGTCAAAAATAATTACCTAACCAGGGAGCACAGCAACTGCAGCCTCACCTCTCCAACATCCTGGGTGGGTGTGTGTTGCCACAGGCCCCAGCACTGCCCCACACTACTGCTCCAAGTCCACCTCTGCAGCCAAGTCACACCCTAGCAAAAGCCTGTCCTAGAAAAGCAAAGTTCAGGCTTCTGATTCCAAACTCATCCTGGTGAACTCTTTAAGACTGAAAAAAGGTAAAAGGCCATCCCAGTCAGCATCTTTGTAAAAGAGAAGAATCCCATACCCTCGTTGTCTTGGTGCTGATCACTACTGGAACTACCAGTTCCAATAGTGGTACCCCAACAAAGTTCCAGTATGCAAAGGATGCAAGCGAACCCGCAGCTCCTACCCACTTCTGGCTTGGAAAAGGATGGCTAGAAAGTGAAGAGGCCTTCCTGATAGAAAATTACTCATTAATGGAATTAGCTGGTGAAGAAAGCCAGTTGGTGCAGGAGTCAACAAGGTAGGTAAGTTGTCAGCCAATACTGACCCTACAGTGAGCCAGCTCACTTTGACATCTATTTGCTCCACAGTTCAGCAGCAGTTTTTCGTCAGTTTGCCACAGCAAGCAAAAACAATCTGATAAATTCCAGTGTAGTCAGAATGAAGCTGATAAGAAGACTGAGGAAGACTGCTAGGGCTAAATTATTTCTGAAGTCTTTGTCCTGTTGTAATGATCACCACTAAACCTTTAGTTATCACAGACTGAAAAGCACTGGCAGAAAACAGCTGAAAGCTGTCTACCTGGGGGTATTTGGCAGAATAAGACTCCTATCTCCCCATCTCTGCAAAGATCTGAGGCAGCAGTAGGCTGAGAATTTATTTGGTATGTGATGGTCATACACACAATTCATGTTCAAAGAAAATGAACCATCTGAACCAGGAACAAAAACCTCAGGCAATCCACTCACCTGAATGTACACTAAACACACAGAGCAAGCTACGCAGTCCCACCTACCCACAAAATCAAACACTAGGTGTACAATGTTCTTCACGAGTACCGTACATTCATCTGACAATCCAAGATAACATCCTCTTTACCTGAGCCCACTTTTTGTTTCTACTTTGCATCTGAATGGCAGCAATAGATGTAAAGAATTCTTCTGAAGGTAAGTCCTCTGGTAGCTTTGTTAAAAACTGAGCTATATGAATGAAGTCCATTTTGGTCAAAATATCTTCAAAAAGTTTTAATATTCCCAGGGCTGTACGAAATAAGAACTCTTCTCCATCACGGCAGAACACGTCCCAGACACGACAAGCCAAGTCTAGTGGCAAAGATTTGCTGTACAATGTGAATATCCTGAAAAACAGAGCAAAATTTTCACAGTTACTGGACAAGAAAAACGTCTCGGATGCTCAGAAAAGTACAGACTGCTCACTAGCAAGCTTGATGCTTCTCAAATATGAATATTCCCTTTGTATTTCAGAATTACTTCTATTAGTTGCTGCATAGCAACATATGAAACAATACAAAATTGTACTACACAACAGTAACAGCGTATCACCATCACCTGGGTTTCCAGGCCTCGTTTTTCTCCACATATGCACTGCAGAACATTTTGCTGCACTCTCTAGAACTGCAAATAATTCCTTCTCCAGCAGAGGTCAGCAAAACCTCAGCTATAAATACAACCTTCCCTTCTCTTTTAACACAAAATTTATTTTCAGGTACGCTCAATCTAACAGTACTTCTCTTGTGCTTAAGATTTCACACACACGTACCCATCCTCTCCTTTTTTATTTAAGAAATTCTGGTTTAAATAAAAACTACAATAGAATGGAGATGTAAGACTCACACACACACACACAATATAAATCAATTAATTTTCCCAGCAAATTCTAATCATCAAAGGTTTTCTGCAATATTTGCTTTTTACTATGTCAGATTATTTGAATGATGTCCCATCAAGTATAACAGAAAAACAGAAAGGGAAAACAGAAGAATTTCGTATTTTACAAGCAGAAATAAGAGATTAAGCCATTTGCACAAATTGAGGTGACAAGTACATTGAGGGTTTAGCATCCTGCACTATTTCACTTCATTCTGTTTTAACATTTCATAGCCATATTTTTTATATCAAGTGGAAATCATGAAAATTCTGTTCTCCAAAAAAGCTGAATTAAGAGAATGGTAGAGTCAGGATTGAAAAAAAAAATAAAACTATTGTTCAAATATAAATATATATATATGAACATATATATATACACATACAAACATTTGAATGTAGAAGAATAGCATGGTAACAGCTTCTTTGGGTTATTGGCTGAGCACATGCTGACTTAGAGACTTTGTCTATACTTTCAGCATCTTCATACAGTCACATCCCATATAAAAATGTCTCACTGCAGAACACTTGCACAGCAGAATTACAACTTTTTGTCTATACACCCAGGCGCACAGGAAACAGCAATAGGTTTCCCATTTAAAAAGACCAGTGCAATAGGAAGCAATTCAGCTGAATACTTTCCTGGTCACCAAGTGGTAGGCAAACACTCAGCTAGCAGCTAGCTCTGCCTCAACATAAGCCAACAATGCCTCTATTTTTTGCTCCGTTTTTATTCACAAAAGCTATTATTCTGTCATGATTCACACCTAACCTGAATAACCCATGTGTATTAAATCCGCAACTATGCAGAAAATTAACTGTCAGAAGAAATAGTCACATCTATTTATTAGAACACCGCTTTTTGTAGGAAAAGATTTACCCACATAAAAAAGCTGTCATGTCAAATAAGGTGTTTGACGCTGATCTCTTCATAATTTGCATGGAAGTGCAATTTTCAAGAAATTCATAAAGCAATTAACTTTCATTAATACCATCGTGGAATTAAATGCAGCAAGCCCTGTGGATGGAGATTGGGCCCCCTAGAATAAGCAACGACACAACAGCAGGAATCATTCCTGCTAAGAACGGATCCAGGATTTGCTCCCTTAAAATATTTCCTCCAGAAAGACATTTTTATTAGACATCCGAGCTACTGCTCTGAAAGCCAGCTGAAATTTATTGCAGCAATAAAGCAGCTGCAGCAGCTCTCAGCAGCGCTAGCACACCGCTTGCACATGATCCGCCTGCACAGACTGCAGGGTGATTTTCTGCCTGCTGCTCTCTTTCAACTCACTGAAGACCAAGATGCAGACAACGCAGTTAAAAAGCACGGAGATGGCCAGTGTCAAAGAAATATAAACGCAGGGTTCTGGCTGCTATCTGTATGGAAGAGGGAAAAAATGAGTACCGGATAGATGCTCCTGCTGCTCCCGGCCCTACTTATGATGAATGCGTACTTTGAGGTAGACACATAAAATGCTGGCTAGTGTGCTGCTCACAGGGAAAGCACATGACCATCATCTTACCAAGAAAGCATTGTTACCATGATCACCATAGCCTCTATTTTAAGCCCCTCTCCCCCCTTTTTTTAAATTAAAAAGTCTTCGTAAGATACTGTTAGCAAGAGTGCTGAAGGCAGGTGTGCCAGATTTTGGATCGACAACTCAGGCACAACACCACCAGTGAAAACCAGATCCAATATATTCTCATCCTGCACATTGTTGTGCTCATCTCTAACAGCACAAAAATACTTCTTCAACTTCTGAGCCCATTTGTGGAAACTGCTGAACTAATTCAGCTTTTGCATTTACTCTTGGATCCTCTCTGCTTTATCCTGGCACACTGCTTTTTAGCTGTTACCTTTTTATCTCTTTCACCTACATCTGCTAGGCAAAGACTACATCTTCCTAAGAGTTGGTGCATTCCTTCATTGCACAGTGGCATTATAGGCATCTATTATATAACGAGAACTGTTCTCATTAGCACCTTTAGAGTTACTGGAGTAAGAGTGTTAAGTTTATTTTGTACAATTTTAAAATTACTGAAGTTGAAGAAAGCAGAAGCATTTACTTTGCCCCTTATAGGGGTAAGGAAAAGGTTACGTACCATGCTGAACTGACTGCAACAGAGCAACTTCATAAATTTTATTCCATTCTAAAATGCATCAGTACAAATACTGTGCTAGTTTCTGGGCAATTTCACCAAGTCAGAAGCACCCAAAAAGCCCTGTTCTCTTGCCTAGGTGTGCTACATGGCAATGCAGAGCTTCACCTGACTTCACTCTAACCCACAGTGACATGAGGATCAGTGCACTGTAAATTCTGCTGAAGACTCATTTTTTGGAGTCTGTAACAACTCCAAATCAAGAAATTAGGATGTCACGAGAAACCTTTGGACAGAATTTTGAAGCTTCTGATCCATTTTTAGTTTGAAAAGGAAGCATGCACTTAAAGCGCAATCTTGAGACTCACTTTTTGGGGGTGAGCTGTTACTGGCATGACACAGATTATGTTTTTCCTGTTGTGACAGACAGCAAGCCTGTAAATATTTCACTGGACGTGCTCACTACAAACATCCACACAAACGAAACGGCTGGGACCTTTATCATAGCAAGTACAGGGTGTCAATAGAAAGTTCGTGTTCGCAGAGCACAATCACAGTCAATGCAATATTAAAGAACCACTGGGTTAGCCAGCGGTACAAAAAAAGCCCTGGGCTGTAATTATTGCCCAAATCATTTTTCTGAGTGGGAATGAAGAGGTATTTGTATATTAGCAGCAAGCCATAAATAGACCATGTGTGTCCTTTGTAAAGCCACATTCTGCTCTGCTCAGAAGAGCCTGTGGTCTATCAGCTGACAGTGCTGAGTGGCCAAAACCAGGCTATTCACACACTATTTCCTCTCTGTTTTGTGTGAACCTGACTGCACGTTGCTCTTTACAGCCCTTGCACACTCGATTCCCTTTACATTCTTCAAAAAAAAAGTAAAAGCAAGTCTAGCTTTTGAATTTTGACTAGGAGAAACAGCAGTTGGAATGTGAGCCTGAAGCACGTGGGTCCTTTTTGAAAGAGATGCCTTACTTGTGGCAGGTAGCCGCTGATAATCATTCTGCTGTACCTTTTAATTAAATTCTTACGCCCTTGACGTCCTGCTGTCACAGAAGGCAGTGAACTGGCAGGGGAGCTGCACTCCCTAAATCCCCTGCCAGCCCCAAGAAAGCCCAAAGCAGCATTACATCACTTGCGTAGTGTTGCTTTTTCCTTGGCATGTATCCCTCCAACAAATGATTTGGGCATAACAATTTCAGCGCCGTTCCCTGCAGCACCGGCTACGCGGAGGAGCACAAAGGAGCCCAGGCGATCCCACTGCAATTGCAGGAGGTTTCCCAGCAACTGGGCTGCGCGGCACTGGCTACTGGAGTCCCCCCAGAGCTGGCACCAGCTGAGATTTCCTGCACACATGCCTGCACAGTAACCATGCCAGCCACCGGAATAGCAGCAGGCGTCCCTCTGGAGCTCAGAGCAAACATGCATTTAAATAAAAGTGATGTTGTCAGGGCAAGGCTGCTTCGCTGAGATTTTTACCCACAACCAGGAGGTCTGTCTGTCTGAGAGAATTCACTGGGCGTGGAGTTGCACAAGCAAGGCTTCCCCATATTCTTCCTCGAATGAAACATAATTGAAATTTCTTTCTTTCCACAAACAGCTTTGTTTTTCACAGAGTAGTACCAATATTACAGCAAATTCCCTGTCAAACCAGCAGTCACTCAGGAGCCACAGGCAACATTAGAAACGAAATTTTAAAAAGTCCTTTGCTTTAATAGTTACTTGCTTGCAAAGACAGTGACCATTTTCCCCATTTTCCCTTACATCTTTCCTATATTACTTCCTGGCTAGTTCCCTACTAACTATAATGGAGGGACAGCAGAGATAAACTCCAATTCTCATTAATTTCCATCAGCTATTAAAAAGATCTAAATCTGCTTCCTATGGGATCAAAGGATTTTCAAAGGATAGGGTATATAGATATATATTCAGACATATTTATAGGTATAAATACATACACATACACACATACATTTAAATATCATACCAAAATCTCACACAGATGAACATCAACCCCACTGCCTAACAAGACTAAAGACACGGCTGGACAAGCTGACTAGCTCAAGATAAATGTGCAGAAATTTAGTATAGGATTGGACAGGACTACTCGAAGTAGTCCTCATTCCTGAGGTTTAATATCATTTCAACGTCTTTCCTCTTGTCATTGGTCATACCAACCCCTGCCCTCTTCCCTTCCTTCTATTCCAGCATTTTTCTGGCATTTTCCTGCTGTGCAGTAAAGAAATCCAGTTCAGTTTATATTCTCAGCCTTCAGTCATAGAAAACGTTCTGATAGCATTTATAGATGCTGGGAGAAATGAGCCTATCCATCACACTCCCCCTCATTCCCCTACTCACGTTGCATTAAAATGTAATCCCAGTGTAACAGCAAAGTCAAACAAAACCCATGCAACAGTACTCTCTGTGCAAGAGGCATGTGCAAATGAAAGGAACTCAAAGGCAGCAGGAAGCCTGTATGGATGAACAAGGAGCTCCTGACAAAAGCATACAAAAGGAGTAAGGAGAGGAAGATGTCGCTGGAGGAATACAGAGACACTGTCTGAGCACGCACAGAAGAGATTAGGAAGACCAAAGCCCAGCTGGAGTTAAACCTGGCTATGGCTGTTAAGGACAACTGGAAGGGCCCTGTACAGGTGCATCAGCAGAAAAAAGAGTAGGGAAAATGCAGGCCTGCTGCTAACGGGGCAGGGAAGCTGGTGAAGTGGGACATGCAAAAAGCTGTGCTACTCACTGCTGCTTTCACCTCAGTCTCTACTGAGAAGACTTGCCTTCAGGAATCCCGGGTCCTTCAGACCAGTGGGAAAGTCTGGAGCAAGGAAACCATACCCTGGGCAGAGGGGGTTCAGTTTAGGAACACTTAAACAAACTGGGCACACACATGGGCCCTGGTGAGAAATCCCTGAGAGCTGAGGAAGCTGTCTGGTGTCATTGTGTGGCTGCCCTCAATGATACTTAAAAAGATCATGGTGACTTGGAGAGGTTCCTGAGGACTAGGAGACCTTATCAAGGACAAAAAGATGATTGGGAGAAGTCAGTAGGGATTTCTGAAGGCAAAATACTGCCTGAAAAACCTGACAGGCTTCTATGATGAGATGACTGGCTTGGTAGATGAGGAGTGGATACTGTTCATCTTGATTCTAGCATGATTTTCACCACTGTCTCCCATAAAATCCTGACTGATGAACTGATGAAGTACGGACTAGGTAAATGAAGAGTGAGATGGACTCAAAATTGGCTGAACTGCCAAGCTCAGAAAGTTATTAATCTGTGACACAAACTAAAATTTCAAGCCAGGACACTGCTACAGTACTCCGGGGTTTGATACTCAGCCAATACTTTCAAGTAATTTAATTACAGACATAGATGATGGGTCAGACTCCACGCTCAGCAAGTTTGCAGGTGGTACAAAACTGGGAATAGTGATTAATCCACTGCTCTAGAGGAACACACTGGAGAAATGAGAGAAATGAGCTGAGTCTCATGAAATGAGAAATGAGTTTTGTGAAATTCGACAAAGGGAAATGCCAAATCCTGCAGCTGGGCAGGAAAAAAAAAAAAAAAGAATGAATGTGAAGCCAACAGGCTGCAAAGCAGCTTTGAAGAAAAGGACCTGGAGATCCTGGTGGACAGGAAGTTAAACATGAGCTGGTAACGTGCCTTGGGGACACACAATGCCAACCCCCGGGGCTGCAGCAGGAACAGCACTGCCAGCAGGCCAAGGCAGGTGACCTCTCCTCTCTTGTCAGCACTGGTGAGGCCAGCTCAGGGCTTCCTAGCACAAGGGACACAGACACGCTGGCACAAGTCCAGCTTGCCACAAGTGTCATTAAAGGCTTGGAGCATCTGATACGCAGGGAGAGGCTGAGAGAGCTGGGTCTGTTCAGCTGTGAAGGGAGATGGCTTGCAAGGTGTAAAAATATTCAACAGGATGGAGTAAAGAAGACTGAGACAGACTCTTCACAGTCATATCCTGTTAAAGGGCAAGAGCCAATAGGCACAAATTGAGACCAAGGAAGTTTTATTTAAACATGAGAAAAGAAAAACTTCACTGTGACAGTGGTTAACACTGGAACAGGTTGCCCAAGTCTCCATCCTTGAATATATTCAAAACCCTAGTAGCCAAAGTCCTGAGTAACCTCCTATAGCTGACGTTGCTTTAAGCACTGGGTTCGGACCAGGTGATCTCAGGCACTCTACAATACTGAGAAAGCTCACCTAGTGAAACTTCAAGCTGTGAGACTAGACAAAACAACTCCAAAGGGATTTCTGTTCAATGGATCAGAAACGTGTTCAGTGCTAACAACAAGCTCTGAAAGATCACAAGGACATTGAGAGCTTGGTTCCGATAGAAATGGATTAACAGTCAAAAACGTTCTCTGAAATATCAACTTATCAATCTCAGAAAAAAAAAAAAAAAAATCTGCTGCTACTGGGAATTTTGTCTTTTACTGAAAGTATTTAGTCAAACACTTGACAACAGAAGAAGCTGTCAACAATTTAAAGGCCAGTTTGCACAAAAAAAGATTTCCTATCTTCCTGAAATTGACAACGAACTATTGCTTGCTGAGAAGAGACATTTTAGCTGCCTCCAAACCCAAGCCTGATAGGCACAAATGCAAATACTCAATTTGGAGTACCTAATATCACGATGAAATTTGACAGGTCTGCAAATAAGACCTGTGTCTTTTTCGTCTGTAAGGCTGTAATTACAATAGAGCTAAAAAGAAGGGGAATTTCACCAAATAAAAAGATTGTAACTCCTTGTCTACTAAGTGGAATAGCTGTAGTAATTAAAACCAATCTGTGCTGGGATCCTCTAAAGATGATCTGAGACCACTGAACATACAAGTAGAATGCTGCCCAAGAGTCACAGCTGATCCTTCCAAAAGCTTAGGTGCTTGTTTTCTTTGCAACTTACAGCACTGGGAGGTGTCCCTGCCCATGGCAGGGGGATGAAGTTGGGTGGGCTTTAAGGTCCCTTCCAACCCAAACCATCCTCTGATTCTATGATTCTGTAAATCTGTGGGAATGATGTGGATTGACAAATTCAATTACTGAACACAAGCTAAAGCTTTTATCTTAACAACAGAATACTGCAACAGCCCAAACCACGCCAGCTTATGTCAAGAATAAGACATGGAGCTATAAGCTGGTATGCATATTAGTAATTATACTGTCAATGTCTTACCAGTCAATAAGATAGATATCTGGAGTTAAGTTATTTTTTTTGAAGTGAGCAAATAGCTTTGGCAGATTTTCTTCAAAGAATACCTCAAATGCAGCAAAGTAAGTCAACATCTGCAAAAACAACGGGGAGAAAAAACAGTTAGCTCTATAATTAATAGACTTCAATATATTATCTGCTGTTGGATTCATGTTCTTCAAAAGAAAAATCATGTGAATTACATGATGGAATACAGAGCTAAACATTTGTGCAACAGACAGCATCTGCAAACACACAGTTTAAGATCCATTCTATATTTTGTTCTCACATTAAACAGTGTCATTATTGTTGTGGATCTTGGCCAGCTTCCTTTGGAAAGAAAAATAGCATCAGGAGAGAAGTTATTTGCTGATTACTCAAAATAATTATGATAACAGAATGGTGCTTTATGTTTGTGGCAGTAACCTAACGTTACACTGAATAACATCCAAGACCCAATGGATTACAAAATGAAATACAAAACTGAAATAATTTAATAGCCCATAGCAAGAGTGATGAGTCCATTTGGCTCCAATCATAAATCATATTCTAATACCAAAGCTTCAATTGTATAACACGTTTTAAAAATGAGATAATAGTTATTTTTACTGTAAAGAGACAGAGAAAGTTCACACAGAAAAGCTGAAGATCAGGACAAAACACTTATGCAAGAGAAACAGACTCCAACCCCCATCTGATACCTTATCCCCTTAACTGTACTGGTTTTAGCATGAAAACTGGAATGTTATTTTTAATATTTGAGTATTTGGATAAAATAGAAAAAGAGGGCATGCAAAAAAAACCCAAAAACTTTCCTATCCAACTAAGAATTAAAAACAAAAGTCTTTTTTAACTTTTCCACCCTAATCCTCTTACTATTGCAGGAAGAAAAGTTTAACAAAGTCCTTGAATGACTCAGTATTTTTAATTACAATCTCTTGTAAATAAAGAATGCAATAAAGAATGGTTGTGGTTATCTTTGAAGTACAAGTTGTACCAGCATGCTTTTCCCCAACACACCATGACAGTAAAAGAGAAGCCTTTTGTGTGAAACCCTTTAGACGGATGACAGATGCTTACCTGTTTTTTGATAGCCTTACAGAAATGTTTTCCTGTTTCATCTGAATGTAGTGACAAATTCTAGACTACCTTCATTAAGAGCAGCACATAAAAAAAATGACTCAAGCCAATCTGAGATTGGGCAGGCTACAGAAATAGCTGTACAAAGTTAGGTAAAATCTCTAAACCACCTGTTAGCCAGAAAAAGTTTCACAGTAAACAGGAAAATAGAAACCTAGAAACCCACTTTAGAGAACTCTACAACTGAAAACTTCCCAATATGTATTTTTAAATACACAAAGTCCAAGCACCGTGTGAGATTCATAAGCATAAAGAAGGAAGCAGGTAATGCAAGACAGTCCTACTTCCAAAATGTTCTGTTTACAAGCCAACAGCACAGTAAAAAGAAGTCCTACTAAAGGATATCAGAAGTACATTAAAGCAGGGATTTTTACACATAAGTGCCACAATCACATCTGTTGATAGAAATGAAGGCAGCTCAATTAGAAATGCAGTAAAGGTTCAGGTATTTATCTTGATCAAATCAACATACAATAAGACATTTACTTAGTAGTAATGAAAAAAATCCAGTTGGAATAAAAATTTAACCAAGAAAATAAATCAAGTGAAATCAGAATAAATTTCTATGATTTCCAAAAGCACCTCTTAAATAAAATAGAAAAAGTAAAACCAATATAAGACAAATTAGCATTTGAGTATTAAGCTGTAAAACTGACAAAAAAGTTCAGCATACACAACAGATCTGAAGATTAACCACAGGAAGACAAAAACATCTCACTTTGTCTCATCACTAGGTACAAAGTTTTCCTCGGGGTGTGAATCATGGCTTTGCAATTTCACAGCATGTTAATACTCCTTCATGTAGCACCACCTCTCCTGTTCTGCAAGCATGCTTCTATCACGTAGCCTCTGCTTGTCTAAGCTAACAAAACCAAAGGGCACTATCCAAGGGGAAACTAGAAACACCATTACAGCTAATAAACATCTTATTCTAGAAAATTTAATTCTGAAACCAGCTTCAAAAGATCTGTATTTACACACTGCATGGGTGAGCATGTCCTCCTTTTTCAAACAGTAGTTATGGAGATGATTGATACAGCTTGTAGCAGTGCTGTCTGAGCTGTTGTACATCTCCCACAGGCATTTACAACTGATGAGACCCAGAAACTGTAACAAGGAATTACACGTGTTTTTCCAGCAGAAAATTACAATAGGATCTCTAGTGTCCCACTGTTTAACTAATTGAAGTGATCACTGTTGATGTTATCCCTTCCCCTGCTTTATTTCTCCCTTTTAAACCCTTGAGAAAGCTGACCCTATTTTTATAGCATTAATGGGTGACTAAGTGAAAAGGAAATACAGAATGGCATAATTTTTTTTGAAAAACACTTCAAAAATAAATTAAAATTGTATTTCAGGAGATGAGTCTTACTTTGCTGTGGTACATAAGTAGCCCAGTATACATGCTAACAAAGAATTTCAGACAACAGAGTGTGAATGAGGCACCCAACTTTCACTAAAAATTGGGGAGGACAGGGTTGTCTGCTCATCCGATTTCCCCCATGCCATCTTGAAAACATAACTGCTACAGAGTAAAGAGATGGGAAATCCAGCTCTTTTGGGAGCCTATTTAAGCAATGTGTTAGTTTGGGATAAAAAGCACCTTCAAACCACTGTTAAGACTATTAAGCTGTTTTCAGCTTTCATCTACAGTGCTCAAATTCAAGAACACCTAAAACAATATTCTCATGACTATTCTCTAAGCATCATAAAACACTCAGCAGTTGAACAACTTCATTCACCTGCCTGTTCAAAAGCTTGGTGGCGAGTTTTTAGTTCCAGTTTGGTTTGTTTGTTTGTTGAGGAGGGGGTATATGTGTGCCTCTGCTATTTAAAAAACAAAAAATGATCAAGCATGTTGCCTTAAAATAAATTCAGACATTTTCCAGGCTACTGAGCTCATGTTTTGTTTTGTTTTGTTTTTTAACATATCCACAGTATGTAGACTACAGTTTCACTGCATACTTACAAGGCCATGGTCCACACGGAAAAACGCCATCTGACAGGGTTTATTTAAAAGGTTAGAAAAAGCAATGAAGGCATCTGCAGTATCCAAGTTCAAGATCAATACTGCTGCTATGAATGACATGCCTTGTACCTGAAGAAAGAAAAAGCACCACAATTCAACAAGAACTGTATTCTTTTCAAGAACACTGCCCCATTTTGTCGTTGCAATCACAACTGTTTAACACACTCGCTGAGCTATTGAATTTTCAAAACTTTCAGAAAGGGAGGAATTTTTAACCTGCATAACCACTTGGTACTGAATGCTGAGAGCACGGAAGCTAATGATCCCCGCGATGCCTCCTTTCAGAGACTCCAAGTAAAATTCCTAAAAAAGGCCAGGATGACATCACTCTCAACTATGCAGAATGAAACTCTTTCTGAAGATCTGAATGAAGATTTTTTTTCTGGTCCCTCTTCTCATAGGAATGGGGCGTATATGCCTTGATCTCTGAAAAGCTGTACTAGGACACTAGAGACTACCCATGTTTCTTTTTCAATCAGTAACCTGGTAGATCTGGAGAGCTGCAATGGCTCATTTGACAACCAGCAGCATTTTAAATTAAGTGTGTGTTTCATTTACCATAAACTCATGATATTGTTACATTTTTCCACAAGCTTATTATGGAATTGGCACAGAACCGATGCAAAACTCACCCACCCTAAGGGTGTAGTGCTGCCATCACCGGGTCACATGGACCGAGGTGTGACAGTCCTTCCTGCAAACCTGAGGAACGAGCTCCTTCCTAACACAACAACAGGTTCCACGCCAAATGAAGCACACCACCTCATCTGCTCTTCTTCTAGTTTCCAGGCAGTCACGTTCAGATGTTGCCAAGTAGCCAGTGCTACTCACAGAACAGGAATGGTATTTTTCTACATTTGCCTTCTATAAAACAATAGCTCCCAAATAAACGAGCTCTTAAACACATCCCTGCTCTGTAGTTTTCTGTTGTTGTTGTTTTGCTTTTTTCTCCCCCAGACTAAATAAAGTATCTGAAATCCACTTGGTCCTTTCATAATCACTACTTTGAATACTTTGAGGAAGCTCGTGTGGCTGTGATGGATGCTGCTTTACAGACAGCTCCAGAAGCTCACAACCCTAAGGCACAGAAACGCGTTATCAAGAGGAGTAAGAAACACAATTCAACAGAACAGCCTCAGTAACACTGCCATTAAGAACACTGTGTACTTCAAAGGACCAATTTAACTACATCTTCTCTTTCAACACCAATTTTCAAGCACTAAAGATATGTACTTTTGAGCTTTCCAATGACTTAACCTATTAAAAAGTTTAAATTTAGCAGCAGAACCATTATATATGACACACACCTCCCAAGCATCTATTGGCATATAAGCACACAGAAACCCCACAATTATTCACAAAATAATTTAATGCTGGTCTACAGCTGATTAACACACTCTTCCCTCCTCCTTGTTCTCCCTCCCCACCCCACGTGAAAAAATGATTCACTTACATAGCCTACATCAGGTCTGTAACAAGTATAGGCTCCTAAAATACTGTGCAACGTGTCATGGTAAGGACCCCCCTGTAATTAAACAAAAACAAGACAATATGTCTAAGTATGTAACAAACATGTTCAAGACCCTTCAGTGCTACAGACAGTATCTATTACTTTCAATTAAAGATGCATTGTTTCCCTCTAGAGCTCTGAACACCCCCATCTCCTTCAAAAAAATCTTTAGCTTTACATTACAGATGCATACAGTTCATTCAATCCATCAGTTACGCATTATATTCTTGTACAAGAGGCATATAAGCCTAAGAGATTCAGTATAGCTTAGTAGCTTTTTGACAATTGTGCCAAGAAGGCAGATCACTAATGAGAACTACTTCATTGTCTATTAGACTAGAGGCAGAATGCAATCATGAAGAGAATGGTTAAAACAACAACATGCTCTAACATACACACACAGATCCTATCCAGCATGACATCTATAGCCAGAAAGAATTTTATGTTGTAGACTATTAACAGCTGCCATATCTTACAAGGAGTATGATAACTGGCTGAGAATTTCCAAAGGGAGAAGTTTTCTACCCAAGAATGCTGATTCATCAAAACCTACATTTTTTAATAAGCATGCTGAAATTTGTGTATAGAAAGACAAAATATTTGCTTAAAATGAGTAATTAAAGCACACCAAAAACACACAAATTACATTGGCCTTTCATGGAACAACACCAAAAAAAGGGTGACCAAATTTTGCTTGCTTGAGCTGTGTTCTCTCACCATTTATTTGCAACCTAACAGTGTTGGTTCACTGACTAGGAAATACTAGCCTGTATCACCTAGACAGAAACCGGTGTGAACTTAATTAGATGAATCAAGACATAATGATAAGCCAGCAGATTGCTTTTTCCTTCCTCCCAATGAGTACCTTAGAGTTAGCCTTTTCTAAACTTCCAAAAGCTCTAGGAACTTGTTCTCTCACGAGGTCTGCTCCTTCAGATTTGATCACAGAGCGCTGTTTCAACCCAGGAACGAACAAGATTTTGTAAACTTAATTTCTCTGAGTATTCATGATAAAAGTTAACATTACTTACCTGCTGGAATATACAGAGATTAGGAAACGTTCTTGAGATATCCAGTTTTATTAACTCCAAACTTGCTTCTCTGTCAGCTGCAGAAAATCCAGCATCTACAAAAGCCAAAATTACAGCATTTATTACATAGGTCACTGCACGCTATTCTCCCCCCACACCATATTATAAAGCAAGGAGGGAAAAGAGAAAGAGACAAGGCAAGACATGCCAGGGATGTCCCTTGTATCCTTTGACATATCAAAAGACATATGCAAGCCTGTTGACCTATGACCCTTAGCCTTCAACGAGGCTTCCTAATGCTTCCTGAAGTAGATGCCTCTGTGGGTAGGTCATGATGGGCAGGAGAAGATCTACAGGGATCTACAGGATGGATGTCAGCTAACTTTATTACTATCAGCTCTCTTTCCAAAACCACGTTTATTTACTCTTCGTATGTGTTGTTAAAGTTAATGTCACCACAATACACTCTAACTGAAATGGATCTCACACAAAGTAAATTTCTAAAGCATTAGAGATCCAAAAGTTTCATTTCTACTTTGGCTGTCCTGGTTAAATATGTTAAGGAGCTACCTACTGCTACACAATGAGGAATCAAAAAAACAAAGAATTGTTTCTTGCAAATAGTATTAGCATATAACAATCAGGATAACAATGAGGATATACATCCCAGAAAATAAAGTGCAAGATAAAGCTGGAAATGTACTAGATGTTGTTGCACTTAAGATGCAGGAAACCAAATCTCAAGAGAACAAAGCAGGGGGTTTCCAATTAAAAACATTTTTTTTTCTGTTGATAAATACCAGTTCTCCTTTTTCTGCTCAGAGTGTAATTACTCACCAAAGGCAAATTTCAAGCATCTACATTTACAGTTTAACACTCACTCAAAAAATACAACTCTTTTAATCAATTAGTAAATCTCAAACCACTTCATGTGCAAAAATAAATTGCTGCTCTCTGAAACATGCCCAGGAGACAGACTCCAATATGCACTACGGGACCAAATTGTAACTTTCCACTGCTATTTGAGTTTCAATTCCAAAACTGCAGATGCAGCAAAACATTTTAGTGTTGCAATCCAATTTATAAGCCCCCAAACCTTCCTAGTTTTCCTACAAATTAATATCTGTAATACCAGAACTGTATCTGGAAATAGTTTTTAAAGAAAAATGAACAAGTTTGATGTATTAAGAATACAGCTCATTTTGCTTCCACAAAAAGCTTTCTGTTGTTTTTTGTTTGTTTTTTTTTTCCAGACTCATCTTTATAGATGAATTTATTTGTTGTTTAAAATCTGTTATTTATGGAACAATTTTACCAAGTCTTGTATTTTGTAACACAGCATAAATTATTCACAAAAAACATACCTTCACATTCTACTTCAGCCCCTCCTGTGCTAAGTGATCGCCATTTCTCTTTGGCACGAGCCAGGCAAATATCATACAGTTCTGGAAAAAGAAAACCAGAAAACCAAAGCTGCTATTTGCATACACACATGCCCACTGTTGGGTTCTAACCACGTACCATATGTAACCATACGAGCAACGTTGCTCCAGTCATTACAACCAGCAGTACCTCTAACACACTAATTGAATTTTTAAGTAGATTATGGTTCTGAAAGACTTGTTCCACTGACCTGTAATTTACAAGCCAGAGAAAAGTAAAGGCAATCTAGGCACCAATTACGTTCTGTGTTCAAGTACTTACAGAGCTCTGACATTCAAAGTTACAGTCTGAATGGATAACTAGGATAAGCCTAGCAAATTCAATGCAAGAACTAAAGCTATGGTAACCAAAACAAACACAGAAAAGCAGCACGATACAGCAAGAGGACAGGCAGTCCACAGCATTTCCATATTATAATTAATTGGAAGCAAATGGAATTAATTGCTCTTTCAGACCTGTTTTCCCGTAGTCCAAAGCAGCACGGTACTTGTTTTCACAAACATACACATGAACAAAAGCACAGATTTTCCCAGAGGTTTTTTAATCTCACACAAGCCTAACATCTTGATCTAATTCAAGAGAATGCATAGTCATAGCCATTACAAAATGAACAGCAATCCTAAATTAGGAAAAAAAAATCTTGAGTCATTAATTCCAACCATCTCCACCTAACATCAAAGCAAGACACAGAGATGGTAACAATCATAAGCAATTCACAGCAGCAGCCCTATGACAACTAGGAGATTAAAAGATACAGTATTTTTGAAAAAAAAAACATGTAAAAGCACCACCAATAAAACCTAATTAACTAATACCTCATGCTCAGAAATCACGTTCTGATACCTCACAGTAAATACAAGACTATCCCCCTTGTTATTTCCCTTGACAGCACAAAGTGGTCAAAACAACAGTCTCACCATGGGTGATGTTTAACTCGTTGCCAATTGCCAAGCTCCAGACTTTGCCTCTCACGCTCGGTGGAATGCCCTGCCACCACAACTCTCGAACTTTACGGGAACAACACCTGTTTAGAAGAAAATGTATACTTCTAAGAAATATTTCATTGTCAGATGAATCATCAGTGTGTCCTCCTAGCATGGCTGAAGGAATACAGACCAAAATGAACATCAGTGGGCCAAAAAGTCAAACAAGATCCTCGTGTATCGATTCTTTAGGACTATTTTGCTTTGAACTGTAAAGAAAAGCTTCGTTCCTTCCAAGTCAATGACTTATTTTGACAGGAGCACTACAGTCACAGTAACTGCAATCTGCCACCAACACGATCAAGCCAGAATCGGAAGGGACAGAAATGAGCGAAAAAGAGATCCACACCTCTGCCACTGCACACCCTTAAGTCTGGAGAGGCCTAAAGCTCCATGTAAAAGTAAATACAGAAACAAGCTACAGAGGTCTATCCTCTCCCCTCACTCATCACCCCCTTGTGCAAATGAGACGTGCAGTTTTCTATCTGGCTGTGCAGCTTTGACCCACCAGCAAAACATAACAAGATGCAACAGTAGGAGGGAGCATGAGAGGCATTTTAGCAGAACACAGGCTAGGGCTGACATTTTCCAATTTGAGAAGGTCAAAAGAGGAAAAGGGTATCACTGAAGCACCAATGAAAGTTTCTGGGAGTGACAAAGAACAGAGTAACCCTTTTACCTAAATGCAGACTCTGAATTAAAATATAAAATGTGGAATACACTGGGTAACTTCTGTATTTGTAAACTGGTAACAGGAAAAGGCGTACTTAGTTTTACAATAAAAACAAGCATCTTCAAACAGCAAATAGATGGGCTTTTAATCTACAGTTTCCTTACAGGGAATCTACTGTTTCAGTTCAATTGAATTTTCCAACGATTTCCATCAATACTTTTAACACGTTCTCAGGACAACTGAATCCCACGATCAAGCAAACTGCAGTTATAAAAGACACGGAGTTTTCAGTTGTTAGGTTGGTTTTTCTCATGTGGGATGGGGGGGGTTGTTGTTGCTTTTGTCTTTTTTTTTTTTTTTTTTTTTTGAAATGACTAGCAAAATAGCAAAATCCATGAAAAACCTGGGGAGTGAAGGTAACTTTCCAATTGCATGTGCTGCATCTTAGTAGAAAATCTTTCAGTAATTAATTTTTTTTCAGTTACTTTTTCACTACTCTTCTTTTCCATCACTTGATTATCTCTGCAGGTATGCCACTAATTAGAGGCTTAATAATACCGTACACATACTTCAATCTACATCTGATACTGAAACATCAAGCTCGGAAAGCTCATTTCTGATAAATGCATGGTGTTCAAGCATTACACTTCCTACTCTTACATTTTCTACCACAGACCACTTCTCAGTGTGTCAGTTTCTGAATACTCTCAACCTCCATTAAAGACGAGTAATGGCAATTAATTAGAACTGCAACTCTTTTAGCCACCTTATCAAAATAAGGCAGCTGATGTTGTTCATTTTCTTTGTAGCTGCCCAAAGGTGACTTTCAAACAAATGCTTCCAACTCTATTTACAACTATACAACTTCTTTCCACGACACAGACTTGACAGCTTTAATTAAAACTCAGTATAACATACTGTCTTACATAGTTTCCCAGTTGGGCAAGATTTCATTGTTCCAAGTTAAAACAGCATTGCCTATGCTGTCCTCCAGCTTACAGCGCTCCTCCAGTTGTTTCTTTCTCTTCTGGGCTTCTTTAAGCTCTGCGGGAAAACAATTTCCTTTTCAATTTAATAAAGCCAGAAAACAAATAATTCAGAGTTAGCTACATGGGACTACATTGCCATGTCCAATCACCTTACATACACACAAATTTACAGCAGACTGTTCTGATTCTAAAACTTTAACGTATGGTTTATCTTGGTGTCCTACATCACAGATCTACATACTGGAAACTTTCAGAATAAGACCGTACATTTTTCATGTTCAGTTTAAACGCATTTTGTATTTTTCAATTCCCATTCAGTATTTCTTCCTGAATCATCAGTTACTGTTTTTTTCCCACAAGCAAATTTGTTAGACAAGCAATTTAACAAATGCAGGCAGGCGCTCTTTATAGCATCACAGTGGAAATACAGAATGTGTGCATGCGCACACACCATCAACAATATGGGAAAGTACTGATGCGGCAAGGAAAACTAACGGAAGAACACCATGTACCAAGGTCTTTGGAAAAAACACATACAACCCGATGGGTCCACTTTAAAGCCCAACAGAAGCCGTGCCTGGACCATGCTAACCGTCTCCTAATACATTCAGCTTTGATACCAGCTCTTTTTAAGTCTGTCTGAATGGGGGTTTGCATTTTTCTCTGTATGAGAACAACACTTCCATCCACACTTTGATTTGCTGACCTCTACACAACACATCACTCTGCCAAGTTGTTCATCTGAGGAGTGGCTGTAGGGAAAATGTTTTACTGGGTATTTATATGGGCAGAATGACGTACTCCCATCCAGTAAAGACAGCACAGAGGCTTGGCCCAATGCCTAACCTGAGCATTACTCCATTTTTTTTTCCAAACCAACTATCATATATGCAACAAAAGAACAGATAATCTCCCTTGGGCTACTAACCATTATATGGATATACTGACATGGGAGTCACACAACAGAGGAGGATGAATTTCCCTGGTAGATCTATGATGTTCAAATGGCCTATTTTTATTAAAATGTCAACTGCAGAAAGCAAGTAAGTTTTAAGTTCCTATCATCCTTCCACTGTTTCATATGGCTCAGGGGTTTGGCCGGCTGCAAAAAAAGTTATTTCCAGAAGCTCTCCCTGGACACACAACTTCCATGAGTTCAAATTTCCCATTATTGCAATGCTTGGTTTTATTAGAAAACTCAGATGGTCAAAAACACCTGCAGGAAACCACTACTGTCGGTTCCACCTGATGTGCCCAGTACAGTGTTACTTAGACACTTCTGTAAACAATGACAGATAAGAACCTTAGCAAAGTTGTAAATTTGAAGTGGGAGATGGATTATCAAATAAAATAATGACATTTCCTATCTGCAAAATGTATGTAATTACATACTACAGCCTCAACAAACTGTTCCTGACACAAAACTATCAAAGATTTTTAGTTCTCTAAAAAAATCTACTCTTAATTTGACTGATAGGCTAATTCAATATATTAGTATTTTTTTAAACCTAAAGACAGATGCTACGCAATTATGTCAGTTAGAAATTCTTAAAAAAAATAATTCTTTCCTGGTAGGTTCTTGGAATGTTTTTCAGATGAAGGAGGGGCTTTTTGATGAAACTACTTTTATCCTTCCCTCTTCCCTGGATTGATTTTCTTTTAAAGGGAGGTGCCAACCTCTCATTTAACAGAAAACCTGACTGACACAAGTGTATTTCAGGTTTAGAAAAACCCCTCAACTTCAATGCTCTCCTCTGAAGACAAGAAATTCCATCACCTCTTTTTTTTGCTTGAACCACCATTTCTTCGTACTGTTGTCTGTGTTTCTGAGCTTCTTCTGCTGGTTTTGCTGGGAGGTTCCTTAAATTAATAAAAAAACAGTGTTTAAAGTTGGCATGCCTGTCTATAAGACAATTCTAGACACTTCTAATAGAAAGGCATAATGCTGCCTCATGTCAAAATATTTGATCAAAAAGTAGTCCAACAGATTCTTGGAAAGATCTTTTTTGCCAGAGTCAGCAGAAGAAAAGGAAAGAACACTGACCAGCTATGACTGACTCCTTTTATACACAAAATATGCTGACTAATTTCCTTTTGTTTGGTAATTTCAGCATTTTTATTATTAAACCAACTGTACCCACAGACTAATCTTCATAAATAAAGGGAAAACAGTCGTATCAAGCTGGTGGTTTTATTTTTAAACTGATCTCTACAGATAAAAGCAGAAAATTTTATTCACTCACTGAGTACCTTGCTTAAGAACTACATCCATAATTTTCTTTACTCATGCAGTAATCACTTGCCACACCAGCTTCCTTTTCCTCCCCGATCTCAGAGACCCCATTTCTTTTCCGGAAGGTTTAGCTCCTTGCCCTCACTTGTACAGCAGTAAGCGGAGCTGGAGTCATTCCATATATTCTCCATTTCTTAATGACATCGTCATATATGTGAGATGATGTATCTGTTAAGATTACGTTAAGATGCAACCTTTTCCAGTTAAAGCTAGAGAGACCATATAATATTAACCGATTTTTCCCTGGAAGTTTTACCTAAACCCTACAGGTGAGTAGGAAACCAGGAGCAGCCATTTTGCAAAATATCTCGCTGCATTTCTTTTGGAAATCTTAAATTTTCTTTTGTTGCAGAAGATCAACAATAAATTACTTAAATCCTAACAGGTTTGAAAAAAAATAAAAAAAAACATAAACTAAGCAAACAATTCATAGAGATTTTTTTTTTTTTAGACAGATTCATTAGAGGACATGACTATTGCTCAGAACAGTTTCCCCCACTAGACAAAAGAACGATGATTCAACTGTCTAGAATCTTTTAAAACTTTTTTGCTAGAAGCTCCTCAGCTTAACAACACTAGGGAAAAAACACAGAATCTGAATGCTGTCCTGTCACGTAGCATTAATTCAGTCTAGCTGAATACTGTATGTCTGAAAGCATCGCACATAGAGAATGATTTCAAGAGACAGGTTTTAAATAAAACAAGTAAGCTAGTACATATTGTTTCCAGCTGTACACAAGAAAACCTGCTATAACAAATAATCACTTAGGTTGATCTAAATGTTCCAAGAAGTCTTGGCATGTAGCCTACCAGCCATAAGTGTCTTAAATGACCCTACACTAAACTAGTTTGATATGAGCATTCTTCATACACATTTGTTGATGAAAGCAAAAATTGGTACAAAGAACTGGCAATGCACAGCAATGTTAAAAATGCAGACAATGTGTCTGGAAAAATGTGTATCGTTCATGAATTGTCTAAATATGACTGAACTTGTGAAATTTAGTAAACCATGGTAAACTAATCTTCTGGGGTTTGGTCTGCAAAGACAAGAATCTCTTTGCAGTAACAGCAGCAAACAACTTCTCAGGTACTTGACAACCTTTATAACATGATGCTGATCCCACTGCAGAACAATCATTATATTCTTTCATTATTTATGCGGGTTTGGTCTTTCTCTGTGCAGACAGGACACCATATCCTTGCTTCTAAATTTCTTTAGCATATACCAGCTTCATTTTTATCTTTATGTTCTCTCAGGGAAAAGAAAAATCCCTTACTCATGTTGGGAAGCTAGAATTACTCAAAACTAAAGCTCTGCTCTCCTAATTATCATCTTCCACTAAATGGCACAGCTTTTACTATAAAATAACACTACTTTTGTTTGAATAATTTTCCTCATAATTACTCCACTTGCACATACACTAGCCTGAAAAAAAAAAATGTTTTTAAAATTAAAATCACTTGTTTGAATTAAAGTGATCAAATACAGTAAGAAAAGCTTTGCTAGCCTCATTTTAAAGGGACCCTCACTGAGGTGCTTCCCAAAACTTACGCTGGTCTGTCCTCTAAAATAAGTGCTGTAGTGGAGAGTGGTTCAAAATCAAGATTCTTCCTCACATTCTGCTTAGGAGAGAGTGGTCTGTGAGCTCGACCAGTTTTTTCTTCATATTCCTACAGAAGCAAAAGAGGAGACAAGTTACAAGAGTGGATAACACCACAATGAGGCACAGGAGATTTTACACAGGGTCTGTAAAAGTCATCAAGATATTGCTTTCAAATTTCTGCCCAACTGCAGTCCCTTTTAAGCTTTTCAGCTAGCATCACCTCAGAACTGAAAACAATGGTAAAATTTAAGTGCAGGAATGAGTTTTCATGTTTTCTTTCATTACTTCTACTCATACAAGCATCTCACATTCCTCTGGCTGGAAGCCTGCACTAATAAAATACTGCTAAGTATGAGCTTTTGAAATAGCACGAACCATCTGAGGTATAAAATAAGACCTATCTAAAATATTTTTATTTACATGGTTTTGAAATTGAAGCCAAAACTGCCGGAGTTTTAAAGTCTCATTGTAAGATTTCTCCTACCCACGCTATTTTCAGATGCAAAAGGTCGGTGACAGCAAAAAAGGGTTAAAATTATGGTCGAAAAGAGCCCTCTTATAATGCCCTGAAGTATGACAACCCTAAATCATAACAGAGCATAACACTAACTTGTGTTTACAATACAGACACTGGCACACCACAGCAAGTCTAGCAAAGAGGCACCCCTGATGCTAGGACAACACCTGAATTGAAGCTGAAGGAATCCCTTCTTCACAGTGATTTCCGTGCAGAAACAGCAGGGTGGTAAAGATGTTACAAGGTCTCTGAGGTGTTTGGATTTACAATATGAAGACAGCAGACAGAAACTGCTTCATGTTCCCAAAAGTGAGGTAGAACCTCCAACCTAGAAGGCATTCAAAACTCAGGTGGATGAGGGCCCTGGGGTCCTGATCTAAGCAGGCTCTGGTCTGAGAGGGGCCTCAGACCTCCAAGGTCCCTCCACCCTGAATCAATGTCACTGCAATCGACGTTTGAGGACTAGGGTAACACATACCATACAATTTTTTCCTGCAAACACTGTTTTGGAAGAAAATGCAGAAAACCCACGACCTAATGGAATGAAACAACCTTTACACAGCTCCCTTCTACCCCAAAGTGTGAAACACTACAGCAAACACTAAGTACAGGAACAAAGATGGCCAAAGAGTCCCACAGAAAAATAAAATGTGTATCATAGATACTTTAAATTTTATCATTAGTTCTGTCACTTCCAAAAAATGCCTGCTTTGCTGTACAGCTTGTTTATACCATATTACATAAAAAAGAAAACACATGCACAATACTCTGAAAACTCAGCATTACAACTGAGCACTACGCCCAGTGTCCCGAACACGGTCTCTTCCTCCCCTTTTTCCTGTTAGTGCAAACAGTTCCTCAAACAGTACTGATTTCTTTGTCAACCTAACCTGCCAAAGATGTAAAAAATAATTTAAAAAAATCTCTGGGCAAAAGGTCCAACCCACTAACAAAACCAGAATAGCCTGGACCACTCAAACCAAAACAGGATGCCCACCACTAACATAAAGGCCTTCTCCTCCTTAAAGGACACACAAAAAACACACACATGAACACAGAGCCACCCGAGTTATTCCACGGTAATGCCGCCCCATTCAATTCCTGATCTAGCTAGTTCTGAGGGATTCAAAGGAGCAGTTGTGTGAAACTCCTGGGACACAGAAACACTCTTTTCCCTTGTTTGCTACCAGGGTTCTGTCCCAGCAATCAATCCTGTGATGCCTGCATTGCTGTGACGGGAAACACTGTCATGAATTTGGAATGCCTCGCTCGTTAATACCAGTTAATGTATGACATCAGCTTGAAAACCAGGAAAAGAACCAAGAAAAATGTATTTAAATTACCAAATAGCGCTTAGCTTTGACCATTAAAGGGAGAGAGCTCATACTGATGAAGCTATTAAAAAATCTATTGAGAAAATAAGCAGAGATATAGCAGAAAAGGTTTTGTGACAGCATATTCCAAACGCTAAGACACTGTTCCTACGTGAATAGCTCCTTGAAGGCAGCTGATGGTGACCAGCTCATGAGTGTACCCTCGTTACGTGCCTCTGCTGCCCCACGAATCACAGAGCACATCCACTGCACTTAGGGCAATGAAGCAAATGCCTATTTTTCTCCTAGTTTCTATTAGGATGTAGCTATTTTTCACGAATTAACCTAGTCAAATATTAACCTACATTACTGCTTCCCGACACGAGGTGAACCTTGTTCTCAAAACTAATGGTTTTACTCCTCTGAGACGCTACTAGTGACAGAAAAACCAGCTGACATCCACAAGAAACTGCAACTACGCAGAAATGATCCCATATTGATCACCATAGAGCATCACAGAGCTTGACATTAAAGCACAAGCACCCAACGCTTATTACAGAAGTTCCATAAATGCTGCTTGATTTTTGCTCAAGAAAATTATTTTCAGGGTCTTCTTTTGCTAAAAGCCAACTACAGAGCAGAACTGCTTTTGGAAGGTGCAAAAAAACTGCAATGGGGATTTCATTTCATTCAGTAGAATTTGGAAATCTCATTCGCCTAGGCACAAACTTTTCCAGCCCAGCACTACGAGTATCATCCCTTCAGGAATTTCTTGACCAAAGAATGTTTTATTTTAGGGTATTTCAGAGCATGGGCGGCCAGTTACAACAGTGAGGTATTAGTGCAGTTATTCAGACCTCTTACAGTAGCAGAAGCCAATCCCACGTTTCAGCAAGCATTCACTGATGCGCTTTACTCAGCATCACCCTACAGCAAAGCAGCCAGACCGGCACACAAAATGGGAGTGGCACTTCGATCAGATTAGCAGTACGAGTCCTTTGTAGTATTTTCAGTAGTAGCCAAACATAATAAAAACGTCCTTTGGTGACAGATCGGTGATGAGGCTGTATATGAATTAGGAAGGGGAAAAAAAAAAGGCTCAGAGGGAACAAAAGCACTTCAAAATGATCTTATTTCGGTAGGAAGGGAATGCCAATTTGAGCATCGCATTGTGTGCTACAGCTCTGAAAGGGACTGAAGCCTCCCCAAACTCCAAGTATCTGCTGATGGAGCACACAGAAGTATTTGCATGGCTCGGCATACCGCAACGGGCACACAATGGCTCATTTGAAGCTTTTTGGTTTTAAACCAGACTCGAATCCCCTACGATGACAAATAACACAGCAGATATTTACATCCTAAACTACAGCTAGGGCTCGCTTACCTACATTAACTTCAGGCTCCCTTCAGGAAGAAGCGCTCACACCTCCGATGCGGAGCACATCCTTACCTCCGGGCTCACCGGGGCTTCCATGCCAGGCCTGCTCCTCCCCAGCCGGGCTCCGGGGGCTCTCCCGGCGGGCAGAAGCCCCGATACGAGCACAAACCCAGCGAACCCCCCCGCGGCTCGGCCCCAAGCAGCCGGGACGCCGGCCCCGCCATTTCGCTGCCCGCCGCGGGTCCCCGGGCGGCCCCCGCCGGGCCGCGCTGGGCCTGCTCGGCCGCGGGTCCCCCCGGTTCCCCCCGGTTCCGTGGCCGCCTTTCGGCCGCGGGGCAGGGGGCGAGCGGGGAAGCCGAGGCCGGAGGGGCGCAGCCCGGCTCCGGGGCTCGCCGCCTCCACCAGGCGCTTCCCCGGCGCCGGCAGCCGTGTGTTGCCCGACCGCAGCCCCCCGGCCCCGCTCACCATGAAAGCCGCCCTCCTTCACCGGCAGCGCCGCCGCAGCCCCATGCCCGGGGAGCTCGGCGGGCCCTGGCTCCCCGCCGCGGCGCCGCCCGGGCCCGCACGGCCCCGTGGGCCGCCCCGCTCCGCCCCGAGCCCCGGCGCTTCGCTCCGCCTCGCCCGGCCAGGCCTGCGGCGCGGGGACGGGGAGAAGCCTCGTCCTCTAATTCATTAGGGTGTTATTCAGCAGGAATGGTGCCCTAATGCTGCCCCAGGAACGCCCCGCCCGAGTGAGGAACCTCGGCTTCGTTCCTGCCCCAGGCATTTGCGTCAGTGCCACAAGGGTGGCAGAGCACCAAGCGCCACAGCCCCAATCCTCATGCTTTTTGTCCCAAGCTAGCTCATCACCCCTATCAGAAGGCATTTGTGTAAAGTTAAAACTATTAAACGAGAAACAACTTCAGACCATGAGAAGTACCGTAACGTACTACCAACACTATTCCTGTGGTAAATCCTTCTCTTCCCACATGCTGAAAATGGATCGATAGCACAGATCTCCTAGACCAAGGGAAGAGCCATCTGGCAGTCCACAAACAGGAGCTCCAACAGCTCTACTTCCAAAAAAAGAAAAAAAAATAATATATAAAAGATTTTATTTATATATATATATTATATATTTATTTATATATATATATATAGAAAGTGAAGCCTGGTGAGATTGGAAGGCACTTCTGTATGGTGGAAAACAAAGTACACCGTAACTCCAATCAGTTACCACAGATGACACTGATGTTCGGGAGCAGTTTCTATTTTTAGGGTGCCACCATTAAAAGAGTACCTGAGGCTACTCAAACAACTTATGCACAAGCTTTAATTACATGATGTGTTTTCCACTGGAATTCCTGCCTCTTTCAGTTTACATGATAGGAACCAGACCAGGATTGCACAAGCAAACAGAAAATTGTTTTTTCCTGGCTTTTGAGTCTGATGGGTACCAAAATACCGCTTCAGCGCTCCCCATCTGTTGCTTCACAGCTTTCTACTGCAGGTCCATCTGCAATCTCTTGCCTGTTACTTACAGCGTGGTTTACCAGATTGATCTAAGATGGTACGCGCACAGCACATAACTGCCCTCCCTGCCCTCTCTCACCATCTCTTTGTGTCACTGCAGGCAGCTGTGCGACTGCACACTAAATTAACTTGGGGAAATTACACTGCTAAAAATTCATCTTTTGTTGGATTAGTTTGGCTACTCTGGTAAATTCTGGGTCTTTGTTGCTGCGGGGCAACGTGACTGTGCGTACTGGCACAAACAGAAACCTTGTCCAGGAAGAGGAGCAAGCAACAGGACCTCTTTCAGAAGATCAGCTGAAAGCAGCAGATCATGAAATCCGTGACAATCTTGGGGCCGGAAACTA